TGCTCGCTTGACCTAACGATTTCGTTTCTCCGATCTCTGGGGTATTGCATATGTACGGGCGGTCCATTCCTTCAAGGGATATGAGCGTATCTGCACTATGTGCTGGTCGCCCCCTAACACGCTAAAAGAAGATGGCGGCAATTAAAGAGGTGGGTTTTTTAGCATTGGAACTGCTTATGTTTTGTGGAAAGGGTATAAAGTTATTGGTTAGTCGAGCAGAAAAGAAGACAATTGGTGTCGCGTCAAGTGATGATTGTCCGGTACTCGAATGCAATCGGTAGAGTTATTTGTGGCAACAAGCAACTGGACTATAACAGGGCCCCTCTCACTCTAATGGGGTCACCCTGTATACTTTATAATATTCAACTCCGAAAATCGCGATAAATTTAAATCCGTAGCGGGCTCCCGTTACAGAATCCTGAACGATCCTCAGGGATCTTTTTGAAGCCTTCTTATACAGGGTCTGTTCGAAAAGTATTGTCATTGACTTGATTGTGAAGTTGTGAAAAATAGCTTTCCAAGAAACGGTGTCTTTTCGTGGAACTCGTATCTATATACCGTGCAAGTTAAAATTCGGCGCTCGCTGCAGCAAAAGAAACGTGCCAGGAAAATATGGATTTGTGCGACAAAGACCCGTACTTTTTGGAGGATGTCGTCACATGTGAGGAGGGGGTGTTCGAATATGATCGAAACAAAAAGTGCACACCTTGGCATCTCTTCGCATCAAAAAGGCTAGAAAGAACAAGACGCTGCTCGTTGTGTTTTTTTAAAGCAGTTTGTACCACATTTTGCATGCCAAATTATAAGTGGAAGGCTCAAAAGTCCGACTTGACCTCGCAACCAGTTGTAAACTCTCCCGGACTTTTTTTGTTCCCTCGCTTGAAAACTCCTTTGAAAGGTCGTCGTTTCGGAGCAGTTCAGAAGGTCAAAGAGGATTTCTTCCGCAAGAGACCTTCCATGACGCTTTCGAATCCTGAAAGCAGTGGACGCGCTGTATTTTGAAAACTTTTAATGTTGTAGAAAGATCTGGCCACTACATTTTTTTAATCAAATTGGTGACTAAGTACTTTTCGGGTAGACTCTGTAGGTATATGTGTTTTTTTTTTAATTGGAAAACTTTCTTAAAAAATCGTTTATTTAGAATCGCGGGGGTTTAGTTAGTTTATTTTTATCTAACTTCGCTTGAATGTAGTCGACGTTACTAACCTTTACGGAACTCATCTTTTGATAGTTGGACGTTACAAACTCGTGCGGAGCACAGCACAGCATGAGCATCGGAAACCGATTAACACAACCATAATGAAAGGAGTGAAACATGACGCAGATTTCTTTCGATAGATGGCGACCGGGAGTGTAAGTAAAAAATGGACACGCCTTCCTCCCTTCGGCGATAGAAATAAATTTTCGCAAAAATAAAAATTTATTACGAATGTAATTTTTAATACCTATCTAGATTTCTTGTCATTTTCCGGCGTGGCTAAAGCGAGAATCGTTCAGCGCGAGAGAGAGAGAGCGCCCGCGGAGCGGAATATCCGAGAACTGTAAAATTCATTCAAACGTTTCTATATTTTTGACTAATGTCTCTTACGGTAGATTTGAGTCCGGTTTTAAATTCAGCCGGAATTATCGCAGTCGTTTGAATTAATCGTTTGTCGACTTCACAAAAATTATCTCGACTTCCGTTCGTTTTCTTTAGTCATTAAAATTATAGCGACCAGAGGGGACGACTATATTTTAAAAATCACATTTTAAAGTTAAATGTGCGGTAAAGCATCGGACATTTCTTAACTTTATTTTTTTTGTCTCCTTCAACCGGATGGATCCCCTTTTTAAATAGGTGTACTGAAGATTAACTCGAAACGACTTGCAAAATCAGCATTCAAGCTGTGGAAACGAAATCTCGGCGAGGTTAGTTAAAATTTTTGTCCGGTAAATCCTTGTTAAGTCCTTTACACTTCTTTTAATGTAGCTCGGAGACATTTAAACAATATTATAATCCTAATAATTGCAGTTAGAAGCGCTGTTGTCGTAATCCCGACAACTTCTCCAATTCCCAGCGGAACATGGACTTACCTATCTGTCGTAGATTTAGTCCAAGTTTATGATTATTTACATCGAAGTTAAAAACGTCCCCCTCCTCCTCCTCCATGTCGAATCGGCATAGAAAAAATCGAGGAAAAGAGCGGACGTTAAACATTTGCCGTCCCAAAGCATACACGCGTGACGTTAAATAATGGGCATTAAATTTGCATCCCAAACCAAACACGGGACGCGATTTTTCACAAAAGGACGCCTTTCCCCTTTCACCGCTTGCGCCCCGCATAAATCGGACGCCGGCTACACGGCAACATAATTAAGAAATGAAATAAACAAATTAAGAAAATGGCGGCTACGTGTGAGATCCCCGATCGGTATTGCTTTTTATTCACGCCGATTCCACCTGGGCTAAGAAGGTGCGAAACGTCGTCGACGGGGACGAAAACAATTCCGTGCAGCCGTACACGAATTAAATGAAGTTTTATTCTCGAATTATTCCAGTAAACCCGCAAGATACGTGGATTCCCGCGCTCTGCCAAAACTTAATCCAACAATAATTTTATTGCTTTTTTATGCTAATTGCGAAATCTTAAAGCCCAACTTGCCGACTCGTATAATTCTGTATTATAACCTATGTATTCTTAATTACATATTATATATTTGCGCCCCGGAATATTCATTTTATAAAGCCGTTAAAGATTAACCGTCTAATTTATTAAGTTAATTAATAAAAATGTACGCGCAAGTACAATGGGAGAGCGATCGTGTAGGTAGGGTATGCAAAGTGATTCGAATTTAAAGCTCGCCGTTCGGGGAATGGGGGATCGAGTAACAAAAGAGTTATAGAGAAAGAGTAAAGGGTAACCGGACTTTTAATAATTCCTAACGGTAGACATTATCGCGCCGACCGTAAAACCAACACGCTAAAGGAACTTCTTTCGATAGATTTACAGGATTTTCGCTAACACTACGTTTTGACGTAACGATTTCGTTTACACATAAAACGACGTGCATGAAATGCTCCTCCCCACCTCGTGTGGTAAATATAACAGATTTCTACTATACGAACTACTGAACACTTATGTCTAGGTACTGCCAAGTGAAATTCATTCTAATAAATATTTCACACCTTTATCCCCACCCCCGTCCCTCACTAAGGAGTGACATTGTGTATTCTTAAAGTGGTTGTGGGTGTTTCTTGTTGCGTTCCCTTGCGGCGGCTTCTAGTAACAGGTGCGCGGACATCCGTAAGAGACACTTACCGACGTGCGCTGCGCCCTTCGTAGGTATGGCCGTAACAGTTTCCCCCTGTTAAACTGAAGAACGTCCCGGTCCCAGTTCAAGTGATGTGAGTGGTATTGTCCGCGTTTCCTGATTGACATCAGTGGCTGTGAGTCCTGTGTCGGGATCAATTTGATCACATTTGCTTTGATGAGAGTATGTAGGAGCTTCCTTTGAAAACGAGTCAAGGGATCGTTTGATAGGACGATTATGTCGTCCAAATATGCAATTATCGTGTTTTCGGGGCCTTTCTTTGCGTGCGTGCGTTGGAAGGTGACTGGGGCGTTCCGTAGCCCAAATGGCATCCTTTTATATCGGTGCAATCCCAAACGGGTTATAAAGGCAGTTTTATCTCTATCGGAAGGATCGACGGCGTTCCCAGTCTTCGGGCGACTAGGACTGCCCCCGAACAGGTGGAGGTTTTTTGTACGCCTGTCGTCTTGGGTCGTTTGAATGGCTGTTGGCTGGTCCTGCCGTCTCCGGCTGGAACGGGTGTTGGCGCGTATTCCTCATGAATGACCAGTGCCCTTCCGGCAGGTTTAACAAGATTTTCGCGTCTTCTATGAAGTCGACTCTTAGGAGGGTACGGTTTCGGACTCAAGGGAGTACCACGAATTCGGTGAGTATCACTCAGTCTAATAGCGTGACTGGCACCGTTGTATATCGCGCACCCATGTGCCCTCCCGGTGGCACTCGCAATCGTTCGCTATGAGCGACGACGGGGCGGTTGTGTCGGTTAGAAAGAAGACCATTTGTGCGATATCGGTGTTTTCTCTGCAGTTCGGACATTGGCTGCGTATCACTCCGGGCTTTCCGCATCTAAAACTATGCGTACGTAACTACGTTTACTGAACTTTGTTTATTATTCTTAGAAGCTGCGGTTATAATTACGTCTCTTAACAATAAGGCCAAATGAACTGAATTTATAATTGAAATTATCGACAGTTTTAGTTACAATTTCGCCACTCTTATGTACTATAATGAAACGTCTCCGCGATTTAGTTAAATACGCCACGCATCCGACGCCGTTTTTCTTTAAGAGGCAACGACGATTTGCTCGGTCAGCACATTTACTTTCTTTTATATTTAGGTTTGTAATTGTATACTTAAGAATTTTAAGTTTACTGTTCGATTTATCAGTTTAGTAATCCTTTAAGTGTATTAAAAACGGCTGATAACTTTTCGGAAAATTTTACACTACAACTTTATTTTTCACGAAGTGCCCTTGTGATTCGAAACTATCGTTCGAGAGACACAATAACAAATTCCAGTCTTTTACACCGAACATCTAAATTACTTTTAATCTCGGTAGCAGTCGACTCGATATGGATGGAGTGACTGAACTGCTACGTTGTGTAATCGGTTCTTTGTTGAAACGTGAGACTTAAGCGGGAAGGGGAATTGAATAAAACGCAGAATTTTGTGCGTAAGAAAAGACTAGAACCAATAAATATTTTACGCACACAACAAGGCAATACCGAGGAAACCTTCTACGGGACAAAAACCCCGGCATGATTCACACAGATACATGAAATAAATCAAATACGACAACAAAATGCGAATCAAATGCGATTAAAGGAATGAAAAAGAAACATATACAGCGACAAATCGGGCTGCATGCGGTTACTCGTTGCCCATGGTGAATGCAGCATAGTCATTAACACATATCATTTTTATTGCAGAAGTCACAGCTTGGACGAGCATTTACTCTTGAGCAATCCGAGCATCGAAGTCCGCCAGGTTCGGTTTCACCCTGCGAGTCCAAATCAAACGCACATCATGGTATTAACGTCCGATAATGCGCTAAGGTTTGCCGTGTTTCTCGCCCAGTCTCCTTGTTTTTGCTAAACCGCCGTTGCAGATTATACAACATCGAGAACTCGTCCGCCGTCGCACTCGGCGTTTACGCCGTCGGTAAACGTCCCAAGGGCGTGATGCCCGGCAGCAAGGCGTTCTTTCTCGGTCTGTTCGGTGAAACGGCGGTCGACTTTGATTTCGGCCCTCCTGAAGTTGACGATCCCTCGTCGGATGGCGTCGAGGAGGAATCGCTCGGTAAGAGTGCTTTAGATATTGCCAATGAGGACGACGGGGATGAAGAAAGCGCGATTCTGCGCAAGTTTAAAGATATGAAATTGCGTGGAACTATCATCAAAAACACTGCGAGGAGTTTGAAATGGCCGATTTTTCTACTGGATGGTCTGGGCTCTGTGTTCGTGCTGATCATCAGTCTTAATGATGGGTAAGTGTCTAGTCTGGAGGTAAGCTTCTAGCCATTTTTGTAGGGATACTCCGAAAGTTAAGGGGCCACTGCCCACTTGGCCATCTTATGATCAGTCCTACACGAATGACGCATGCGCAATTTTGTGCCATCCATCTACACCTCCCATACTTTCCATCGCTACAATCAACGGAAATATTTCACATTCAATTGTCTTGCCTTTTGATGAAAAGAGTGACCAGCTGAGGGTAAGAAGAATAGCTACTTTTGGAAAATTAACGAGGTACTTTCAGAGGTGCAAATCACTCACGAGCAGTTTGGATGTCCCTGATCGTGCGATCTACACATTTGAAACGTTAGAGTTAGAATTGGGGTTGGCCACTACTGACGCGTTAAGTGATTACTGCTGTCCAGTGTTTCTCCATATGGACGAGTCTCGTTCAGGCCACTACTTTGCCACTCACGAAGCGGGTGTGCACGCCATTTCGATTCCTGTCGTTGAAAATATTACTCAAATACTTAACGGACCGGACGGTAGGTGCACATATTACTTCCTTCCAGATATCGCCAAGCGTGTATTTCAGATGAAAATTTTATGGAGCAATTAGTAAATGAAGCTAGCACTGTGGAATACGTTGTATGCACCAAAACCGCCACCTCCAACAAGATCAACCCCGTAATTGGCTTTTCTATCTATTACAACCCGCCTAGCATGGTAGCGCTATTAGGTAACGGTCAATTGATCAGCATGCTGCTACTATCCTTCACATCACTACCGTGCACTTACGATTTTTTACCAGAAGACATAGAAAACTTCAAATCGCCTTTAAAAAAAATGCTAAGCGAACCTTTCGATGTGCAAATTTATAAAATTTTGAAACAAGCCGCTTCGCAACCCATCCTCAAGTTGAACAACAGCGAAAACCACTCGCAACAGGAGTGTTACGAGGTACGCCCCTCACAACCTTTACCCTCTCGCCAATTCACTGACTTACAGCTATTGCAACGCGCCGCTCAGGTATTCAGAGAGGAACACTTTAAGTACTACGAAAAAGCGCGAGAAGAGATAGAGAAACGCATCAAAGTGTTGCAGATGCTCAAGAATTTCCAGACCACCGAAATCCAGAAGCTGATAAAAGAGAAGCAAAATCTCCAGACGAAAGCGGAAAGTCTAGCGGAAAAGTACGAGGACATCAAAGACAAGCAGGAGCTGCTCAAGAACCGGTAAGTTCTTTCCTCCCATCAATGACTCACTCCAAATTTGTAGGTGCGAAAAGCTTCTAATAATGGCGCTTCAGACGAAAAGCGAACCCTCCGAAGCCGAGCAACGATTCGTTAAGGAACTTAAGAACGCTCAGAAAAAGGTTGAGATGTTTACTACGAGCATAAACAAGTTGAAGAATCAGAGCAAGTACCAAGAGGTTCAGATGGCGAATTGGCAGAGAGAACAGAGCAAGAGGGAAAGCGGACTGGCTTCCATTCAGTCTCAAACTATCAAGACAAACCTGCAGGATATGTGAGTGATTTTCAGTTTTGCTGCAAGAACTTTGCAATTTTTTTTAGGACCGATCAAATTTCGGCGATGATGAGTGAGATTACGGAATATAAAAAGAAGTTAGGTTTAAATTAGTCTTCTATGTTTTGTAAATTTATAATAAAGAGATTTTGTATTTGAGTTTAAGAGAGGAATCGCGACCTATAACCTCCTGAGACTATTCCGTAAGAAAAGACTAGAACGTATACATATTTTACGCACACAACAAGGCAATATCTAGGAAACCTTCTACGGGACAAAAACCCCGACATGATTCACACAGATACATGAAATAAATCAAATACGACAACCAAATGCGATTAAAGGAATGAAAAAAAAAACATACAGCGACAAATCGGGCTGCATGCGGTGTTTTTTCACAAAGATACATGGTTAGATTAAATATCCAGAGCGACATACTGATAATTAATCCACTTACACGTGAATACATTAAAAATACTTAATAAAACTAGAGAATGGCATAATCACCTGTACAGTGTAGATAACGGTACATAAACAAAATGAAGTTCAAAGATTAATAGTCAGTACAAGAAGGAATAAAGTGGTTGCTACCTGTAAATACAACAAAATAAACATTGAGAAACCCCGGGAACGCTTGATTCGCCATTCCTTTAACTTTTCCCCCTGACTTCGTTATGAAATTCCCCTGGTCTTCGACATCTGCACAGAACGGTTGAAATCGAAAACGTAATACAGAGCGTATCGTATTTTTGTTTCAAATGTAAAAGTGTGTTTTTTAGTCCGGATATTCAGGCAGAGCTAGGGGAACATATTCTGTTCTCAAGGTACCCCACAATACTCTGAAAAAGGCCCACAACGGGAGAAGTGGAACTAAAACTGCATTTTTACCCCAGAATCAATTAACATTTAAATTAAATCATAGTTTTGCCCATGGCCTAATAAGAGTATGGTCTGCTATTCCCGTGAACGAAATCTCGCAAAAGTCGCGCATGACGTCACGCGGTTGTGTACACTGAAATATTGTACACGCGCATATGAATAAATATGTGCGGTGTCTGGTTGCAATAATAACAATAGAAAAACTAAATACAAGTTAGTATAGATTTCCAAAACATGTTGCTTTTCAGCGGGGTATAATTGTATCGGCATCGACGGCATCTGATTGATGGCTACACCTTCACTCAACGATCTAACCGATTGTTAATAGATTTGTATAACGACCTAATAAATAGGTAGATAGGTACGATACGGAATATGTTTTGACACCAAGTTGTTGGTAAATATATCTTTCAAAGGGCCGGCGAATGCTGCTTTGCTCAGCCATTAGAAAACTTAACGGAAATTAATACTTGTTTAACGGGCCAACATTGCAAGAAGGTATTGCTGAAATACCTACCGTCATTTTGCTCAAGAAACAACGAACATTCATAAAGAAGGTTCGCTTATTATGACTGCTTACGTTGCATACAAATTAAAAACGAAATACCGATTCTTATGCGAAATCGCCGAATTTGAAATCGGCGATAATTGGATTATTTTATATCTGAACGGGATTTAAAAAAGCCAACAAATTATTTTGCTGTTATTGAAAAGAAAAAAACTTAATGCATCATGTGATAAGACATTGATACCTAACGACGCTTTCGACCACTTAGTTAAAGCAAAGAGCATATAATATAACGATATAATACTCTTTGAACTTTGGAGTAAGGACGTATATAAGAATTCGGAAACGAAATAAAAAAAATGAGAAACTGCGGGACTTCTGCAGAAAGACGAACAATTAGTAACCAATGAAAAACCTCATGTTTTAAACAGTCTGAATTGATGTTTTGTACATATTTTACATTAAAACCTAATGATTTTCTACTTTGTTTTTGTAATACAACACAGTTTGTTACGTAGATATATGCACATAAGCTCTAATTAGGTGTAAGCACTTTATGAATGAAAACTTTTTCACCGTAATTGTTAGGCTTTCTTACTTATTCCATTGAATTTATAAAATTAAATGCTTATTCTTATGGGAGTCTTGCCGGCACCAGTTCGTTTCACAACCGCGTGACGTCACATCAACGCCAGCCAACTAATGCACTATGCGCAATAGCAGACCATACTCTTATTAGGCCATGGTTTTGCCTACAACCTCAGAAACGATTTCTGAACGTACACTCCCACTAAATTTCAGACACCCTGTAAATAGCACTTAGTCTGTCTTTTCTAACTGGATATACTCTATGGTAGTTGTCGCCCTTTCTTAAAGGAAGGGGCAAAAATAATTTTACCTTCGGTATATCCTTTTTTATCTACTATTTATACAATTTTAACAATTATCGTATGCAAATAAATCAATAATAATGGTAGGTAAGATGGGGTTCATTCCAACTGTAAATCTAACCTCTCCTTCTAGCTGGTGCTTGTTTTGGGTGATTTACACATACCTCACAGATGCAGTAGTCTACCAGGTAAGTTCAAGAAACTATTAGCTCCAGGTAGGATCCAGCACATACTCTGCACTGGTAATTTGTGCACCAAAGAGTCCTACGACTACCTGAAGACTTTGGCAAGTGATGTTCACGTTGTACGAGGCGATTTTGATGATGTAAGCCACATTTTCGACCGGCTGGACTTAGCCTAAAGTTTGTTGCAGAATCTAAACTACCCAGAACAGAAGGTGGTAACCGTGGGCCAATTCCGTATCGGTCTATCTCACGGGCACCAAGTGGTACCTTGGGGTGACCCAGAATCCCTAGCCTTAATACAGAGACAGCTCGACGTCGATATTTTAATATCAGGCCATACACACAAGTTTGAGGCGTACGAGCATGAAAATAAGTTCTACATAAATCCTGGCTCTGCAACTGGGGCATATAATGCTCTGGATACGTAAGTAACTCCCATTTCCACAATTTGCTCCAATCGAATTATAGGATTATTACACCTTCGTTTGTTCTGATGGATATACAAAATGCAACTGTTGTTACGTACGTGTATCAACTGGTTGGAGACGAAGTGAAAGTTGAAAGAATTGAATACAAGAAGAATTAAATATAGCTTTACTCATTTTTTTTATAATATACTATGTCAGCACATTATAAAAGTAATAAGGATTGTTGATAAACAATCCTGTAATGTGTCTATATATTTGTATATAAATTATTAAATTTATATGTTAAGTGCTTTACTGTTTAATCCGATTTACATATAATAGACATTAATTTTTCAATGTACATTGTAGTCCAAATTGGACACTTTCTTATGAAAACACCCTTTATTATACCCTATAGGGGTCTGGTGCCCAATTTTTAAAGAGAACGCCAACTACCTCTAATCGTTTGGCCGCTAGGGGGCGTTTCTCCAATGTACCTAGTCGATTTTGACAAAATATTTCTTACTACCTATTTAAATATCTAAGGCGGCGCTTGATCCCAAACTAAATCGTAGGCTTAAATATTCCGCACGATGGACAAGTTACAAGTCCTAGGGGTGGGACCTTGCTAACAAAACTCTTTGGTTTAGAATCTGTGTAATTCACGAGTTTTCGCATATTAACATTGAATTTTGCCTTGCTGTATTTGTTATTATGTTTTGTGTATGTGAGTTATATTTATCAATCATGTAATGCAACAACTTATCTGACTCATTGACAACATTTTCACTATGACTTATTCGCGATTATTGACTATTTTAAACCGTGGTTCGTTATACCACCCATATAGTTTTTATCGTGATATCAGTGTGGGAGGTATAGGTTGTATACGGATTATTACCTCAAATAGAAATAGTTCTTGCTGTGTATAGGTACGAACGTTTGTCCTTTTATTTATTTACAATGCTTACAGTTTTTCACCTACAGGCTGTATGATAAGCTCGTGAATCTGGCGAAGAAAAAATTTTACCAACAGATATAAAACCCAAAATCATTCACCTGAACGTGCGGAGGAGTGCCTAAAACGTACAAAACGGCTTCGGCGATATCCGCCGCTTCCAAAATTGGCATAGCGTCCATAGCTTGTATCATTTCCGGAGATCTCTGACTTGCCACAAGAATCTCGGATCTTACCAACCCAGGACTGATGCTCTGCGATAACGACCGTCGGTCAAAGTAATCGCACTAAAACCTACCGTTATTTTAATCCTGCTTCCGGCATGATTCAGTTCGTGACGTAGGATCTCGGTTAAGGCACTGACTGCGTGTTTGGTCGCAGGGTAGACGTTAACCTCCGGAAAGTCGGGGATGCGATGGCCTGCGATGCTGTTAATGTGTATAACGTGCCCGTCAATTTTATTGTCGCGCATAATCTTCACGGCCTCCCTCGTCGCGATGCACAATCCCAGTACGTTCGTGTGCAAAACTTCCACCCAGTGCTCGCTGAGCCCATCCATAAGTCCGCCCGGTCGAAGTATACCGGCATTGTTCACCAAGACGTGCACGGCACCCACGTTCTTAGTCGCCCAGCGAAAGGCTTCCAGAATTTCGTTTTCTTGGGTTACGTCCGCTTTAACCGGAAAAAACTTCCCTCGCCTCCCGACGAGTTTTCGCTCAAGATCTTCTAATTTTTCCTTACGCCTGGCCAACCCTACTACCTACAAGCGAAAAGTGCTTTCCATTACCAAGCGACTGGACTTGCCTACCTTCATTCCGACGTTCACCAAATGTTCGGCAATTGCAAGCCCAATTCCCGAACTGGCACCCGTAACTACTGCGACCTTACCCTCCCAACGATTCATCTCGGATTGATCTTTCTCAAGACGCGGAAAAAGAATAAATATATGGACATTTAGCGACCTTGCGTGCCTCAAATTTCGTACATTGCAATTATTTAATGTGATCTAGCAATTTTGAATGGTATGTTGTATAATATTTTAACAGTATATTAATTTGATGACAATGTGAAATAGATTATCTAACACTCTGTATGAATTTAAATGTAGAAAATACCTTGCATTACAAACTGCAATGATCTATATGTAGTAAGTAAAAAGCAAGAAGCTCGTGATCCGTACGTAGTTCAGATCTAAGATCAAGAATAGAATCTTGCAATATTTAGTTCAGATCCAAGAACGCGAAAGGTAAAGCTTGACTACTCGGTACGAATTCCGCTTTAAGTATGACCTCAAATTCGATGGATAAAAAATCCTTATTTGACATCGAAGCAGAGCAATAAATTGAACATTTTCACACAGAAATTGGATCGTCAATCTGCTATCCAAAATTCAAGTGGTAATGACAAAGACGAGAGGATAGTCTTTGGTAATGAGCAAGAAATCAAGATTTTTTGGGTTCGATTTTCACAGTCCAAAGCAGATGTAAAAAGTCCACGGGCACATACGCCACGGACAGAAGGGCAAGGAAGATCTTTGTATGATATAGCATTCAACTTTCAAAGGATAACCGTTTGGAACCCGCCGCGTTGCCGTAAAATTCCCCTTTTGATTGGATATGTGTACTAAGTACCATATTGCTAAAGTTGGTGTATCAGATATAAATAAACACAGCAACCACTCCAATGTGAGCGGAGATGCTTTAAATGTTTTAAAAAATTCACAATTTTAAATTTTCCTAGAGAAAAAGCGTAAGAAATTAATAAATGGGGATGTGTTCTTATTCGCTCTTATGTAACTTAGGGGGTGATGCAAAATTAAGTTACAAAAAATCGTGTATTTTGTAGAAAATCAGTGAAAATGTGTAGTGTTTGGGTAAAAAATGCGCAAGCGTTTAAAACACATTTTTTGAAATATTTTTTTGGCACAATAAACTTCTCCTGTGTCTTTTTATCGTATGTCATAAATGTCAACCCTTAAAAATTAATAATACATTTTAGAACGCTCACCAGTTGCTCCAATTAGAATCAGGATCCGCACTTAGCACTTAACTAACACGAAATTTTCAACTTTAATTCACTTAAACACTTTCAAAAATTCCTGAAACTTAACAAGTTGGACATTAATATCAGAAAAATGATAGAATTTATCCACCCTCTGTCAATAGACTGATCAAAGGGTAGGGACATTAAAGCGTTTTAAAAAATTCACATTTTTAATTTTCCTAGAGAAAAAACGCAAGTAAATAATAAATGGGGAAGTGTTATTATTCGCTCTTAAGTAAATTAGGGGCGATGCCAAATTAAATTACAAAAAAACATGTGTATTTTGAAGAAAATCAGTGAAAATGTGTAGCAGGATGTGTAGTGTTTGGGTAAAAAATGCGCAAGTGTTTAAAACACATTTTTTGAAATATTTTTTTGGCACAATAAATTTCTCCTGTGTCTTTTTATCGTATGTCATAAATGTCAACCCTTAAAAATTAATAATAAATTTTAGAACACTCACCCGTTGCTCCAATTAGAATCAGGATCCGCACTTATCACTTAACTCACGAAATTTTCAACTTTAATTCACTTAATCACTTTCAAAAATTCCTGAAAATTAACAAATTGGACATTAATATTAGAAAAATGATAGAATTTATCCACCCTCTGTCAAGACACTGATCAAAGGGCGTGGCACATTTAAGTATTCAAAAATTCACAGTTATTAATTTTCTTAGAGAAAAGGCGCAAGTAAATAGTAAAAGGGGGTGTGTAATTATTCGTTCTTAAGTAACTTAGGGGGCGACACAAAATTATGTTACAAAAAAACATGTGTATTTTGTAGAAAATCAGTGAACATCTGTAGTGTTTGTGTAAAAATTGCGCAAGTGTTTAAAACACATCTTTTTAAATATTTTTTGATACAATAAACTTCTCCTGTGTCTTTTTGACGTACGCATTAAATGTCAACCCTTAAAAATTAATAATAAATTTTTAGAACGCTCACCAGTTGCTCCAATTAGAATCAGGATCCGCACTTATCACTTAACTCACGAAATTTTCAACTTTAATTCACTTAATCACTTTCAAAAATTCCTGAAAATTAACAAATTGGACATTAATATTAGAAAAATGATAGAATTTATCCACCCTCTGTCAAGACACTGATCAAAGGGCGTGGCACATTTAAGTATTCAAAAATTCACAGTTATTAATTTTCTTAGAGAAAAGGCGCAAGTAAATAGTAAAAGGGGGTGTGTAATTATTCGTTCTTAAGTAACTTAGGGGGCGACACAAAATTATGTTACAAAAAAACATGTGTATTTTGTAGAAAATCAGTGAACATCTGTAGTGTTTGTGTAAAAATTGCGCAAGTGTTTAAAACACATCTTTTTAAATATTTTTTGATACAATAAACTTCTCCTGTGTCTTTTTGACGTACGCATTAAATGTCAACCCTTAAAAATTAATAATAAATTTTTAGAACGCTCACCAGTTGCTCCAATTAGAATCAGGATCCGCACTTATCACTTAACTCACGAAATTTTCAACTTTAATTCACTTAAACACTTTCAAAAATTCCTGAAAATTATCAAATTGGACATTAATATCAGAAAAAATATTGAATTTATCCACCCTCTGTCAATAGACTGATCAAAGGGTAGGAACATTTAAGTGTTTTCAAAAATTCACATTTTTAATTTTCCTAGAGAAAAAGCGCAAGTAAATAATAAATGGGGAAGTGTTATTATTCGCTCTTAAGTAAATTAGGGGCGATGCAAAATTAAGTTACAAAAAACCATGTGTATTTTGTAGAAAATCAGTGGAAATGTGTAGTGTTTGTGTAAAAATTGCACAAGTGTTTAAAACACATTTTTTGAAATATTTTTTGTTGACACAATAAACTTCTCCTTTGTCTTTTTATGTACGTCATAAATGTCAACCCTTAAAAATTAATAATCAATTTTAGAACGCTCAAAAATCCCTGAAAATTAACAAATACGTCATTAACAGCGGAATATTGATGGAATTCACCCATCCTCTGTCAATACACTATCCAAAGGGTTGTTCATTTAAGTGTTTACATTTGTTTTATTTACCTAGAGAAAAGATTGCTGTGGCTCGGGCAGATAGATACCACCCGCACTATGCAATTGTTTACCCATAATATAGAAAAGCGTCGAAAATTGTCTCTTTGACACACTTTCGCATGTGCGATTTTCCCCAAAAGCTTTTCAGCTGTTCCTTTTATGTCTAGGAATACGAGCACTTATGTGTAGGTACCAAATATGGTTGCAATCGGTCTGCCGTTTAGCCGGGAATGAGAGTACGGACGGACCGACATCAATATTTTGTTTGATTTGGATTCCTGGTACTACTTCAAAACGTATTTCCGTCCAAAAATTTGGGGGTCATTTTTTACCTCAATAATACCTCCCTCACTAACATGCGGGTGGGAAAAATCGCAAATAAATAGGTAATAAATGGAGATGTATTTATATTCGCCCTTAAACAAAAATTGGAGGCGACACAAAACTTAGAGGTACCTAGTGAAATTGTGTGGTGGTGGTAAACATAGCGCAAGCGTTCAAAAAAACGTGTCCAAAATATTGTTTTTACAGGGTGTAGGGTTCAAAAAAATTATTGCACACTTTGAAGGGCTTCTCTTCATAGAAAATTACTGGGACTATGGCCTACTTAGGCTGGTGATTGCAAAAGTTGAACATTCTCACTTTGTTTTCATTTTCATGCAAGTACAATCTGCACAACTGGAATATTTTACGTGCATCTTCATAATATGAATTAATCCATAGCACGGCACCGATTGTGTATGAAACTGGGGGCCGGAAAATTTTGTAACATCCACCCCTAATACCATATGCATATGCACCCGACTAACAATTTGCACACCTTTAATAACGGCACTAAGGGCGATAACCGCAAATGGTTACATTTTCCGGATGGAGTGAATATACGGCATTAAGTTAACCTAGTACCCGATGACTAGCATTTTTTTAAGGATGAACGCTTCCATCCCGTAATCGTGATAACAGTGACGCCGTTGCTAGAATTACTTATTGGCGTTTTTAATTGTTTTAGATGTCGACAATTTCAACGGAACGTCTCAAATTTGGAGGTTTAACCAAGTAAATAAAGGGAAAAACGGCACGATGCCGTTATTGTAGCAAGCCTTGCGCCGAGCCCTTTTTTGTAAACAAACGCTTTTAGTTGTAAAATATTGTAGAATGGGCGTTAAACATGCAAGATTTCGACTTAAAATACATGCAAAAGTTGCGATGAAGTATATTTAAAGAAATAACTTGGGTACCTTGTGAGCTGCGTGGGTGGATGCAGAATCCTATGGCCCTTTTCTTTTCCATCGATCGCGATTCTACCTTTCAGTACACATTATCGTTATCGATCAATATATGATTCCATTTATGGAAGCTTTTCTTCGGTTACAATCATTCGGGAAAGCGAATTTTCCTTTCAAACCACTCACACTAACGTTTCCAGAAGATTTGAGCGCGGAGCGTCATTCTCACAAAGATAGGTTAAGAGCGAGTTGTTCAAATGACGCCGCGTTTGATTTGATCTACTTTCGGTTCTTCTTTCTGTAATTCATTTTTGCACTGCAGACTTCGTTTTCGCTATTTATGTGTAATAATTTTGCATTTTTATGCGTTTACCATCTCTGGCGAGCAGGCATTCTGAGGATAAGGCGCGCCTGCCTTACGAAAGTTAGTTCAAAGTTATGGTTAGTAGTTCCAATAGCCAGGTATTTCCGTAACCTCACTTTTATAATTTTAAATTTCGCCAAATTAACTTAAATAAAAACTTTTTCTTATTGATAAATAAAAGGTTTTAAACAAGGCAAATCATGATAACATAAAAGTGATAACATTCTGTGAATTTAGGCATCTCGCTTAAGAACGGGGAAACTTTAGTGAGTTTACAAATGCTAAATTTACGTCTACACCTAAGATTGGCTGTGCGGGCATTTCAAGATAACCGAATCGATCAGTCCCACTATAAAGTGATTGCTGAAGGTTTTTCGCTTGACCTGTAAGTCTCGCTATCATTTCTGATAAGTTTAAGTTTACAAGTTCCCTTTACCGTAGATTCTCTCTTTGAAGATCCGATGACATCTGCCTTGATCAAGACTTTGGCGGTCACAACCCAAAACCTCATGGCTTCTTCACATTCACATAAATCGACACCGGGATGTTTGGAAGGTGCGTTTTTGTCTCTCAAAGATGTCTCGTTGGAGATCACACTAATGAACGTTTTTATAAACTGACTTTATACAATTTTATAATGTTATCTTTCATAGTCTAAGAGCTAGCAACATTCTCATCTGCCACGGCTAATTTGTTTAAGTGTGCGGAGTGATTGGCAAGTTGAGGAGTTGCTAGTTCTACAGAAGTTGAACAAAATGAGGCCATTTTGAAGGCCAGGAAGCATACATGATTTTAATTAACTGTACAAATATACGCAATTGTCACCCTTCTGGATTACAATCGGAGGATGGACAGGGTCCACGTGTACCTAGGCCTCAAATTTGAGCCCTTTGTACTACCTCTATGACTAGCAAGTTGTAAGTACGATCCCTCAACATCACTCAAAAGTACACTTGAGTGACGCCCTATAATGAGGTGTTTGTTTTTCTCACAGTGTTTTATTAGTTCTGCCATCTCAATACTGGGAGGTAGATTGATAGAATCTCCCGGGAGATATACTGATGCTATTACTACTTGAGCATTACCCTGTGTGTCACAGCTTAACTGTATAATCGTGATATCACGGGCAGCAGAAGAGCTTGTACGGTGACCAGGTTTTTCTTACTGTTTATCGAAGTAAATGGTTCCTATCGTGTTCCCAAGACCCCAAACGCTAGATTTAATAACCCAGGGTTCTTGAATAATAAGGTAATTTCATATCAAGTCCATTCCTTCACAGAGTATAGGGCCAAGTCTTTCTTTTGGACGTTCTTATCGCGAAATTGTGGGGCCTTGGAAATAAATTCGGTTAATGGTACGAAACATTACTTGGGATTTAAGGAGCATCACCGTCCTGGGTGCTCCATCTCACTATTAGCGCAATCGCGGTCACATTGGGTGTGGGGAACCTCTTACTCTGCACATTGGATGCCGCCTTGCTGTGCTAGGTTTACCTGTAGGAAGGCGATTTTGTCCCCCTAGGCACATTGGCCGGACCACTGGCATTCGCGGGGAGCCTGCGGGTTGTTCCGTTTGTCCTTTTTGTCCCTCTTCTTTGTTTGGCCACTGTTCGTGCTGTATTTTGGAGTTTGGGTGCCTGGCGCTCCTCTGGTTGCCCTCTCCGGAGCTCCCTTGGAAGTGGTGCCAATAGCATTAGATTTGCTAGATCCTTAAGGCTTCATTAAGACCTTTTACAGGGGCACCTCTAAAAAGCATTATGCGGGTCACTCTATAATTGGGCGAAAGCCTGTTGAGTGCCCAGAACAAGAGAAGGACAATAAATTAAATTTAAATTGCCACTTGTCCAAACTGGCATCTTAGCGAGGATTGGTCGACTGTCATCGTTAGATGAACAAGGGCACTCTCGTGTTCTCTGTTCAGCATTCGCCATTCCTTAGTGTTGAAGCCGGTGTTCTGCTTCTGAAACAAACCAAGGATACGCTCCGTGCTCTCGTCGGTGCTGTCTGGAAAGTAGGCGTTCACAACAGTCGCCTTTGGAATCTCTTTGTCATCGACAGCTCTTAGTGTCGCACCCTCCCATGGCTTGAAGCTTGGCACCACTCCTTTGAGCCATTCTGCGGTGGTCGCATCTGCGCAGTTGACCCGCAACAGGCCTGGTTTGAACGTAGAACCTAGGAATTGAGGACACACCGTACCTCTTTCCAGGTTTCTAAGGGTTTCAAGGATTCACCCGCACACATGCAGTATCCCTACTTTTTTACCCTCTGTAGCCTGTTTATCGGTTGTAGAATGTAGAGGGATTGACCGGGTCTTGTGGAACCTACTCCCACTTAGACATGACGTCGTTTCCCTGCGTGGCTGCTTCCTTGTCTGGGGGAGCCGCGGGTGTGGTATCGACGGCCCGGGACGACCTTTTTTTTCCTCTGTCCGAGTTACCTTGTCCTTTCGGCGGTGCATACTGCTGGATGGCTTGCTCGGCTGTTTGAACCAGCTTTACACTGTAACCTATGTTGCCATTAAAAAAATTTAAAATGGCGATCGCGTTCAAAAACCATGTTTCAACACTCAAACGGTTTGAGCGGAGAGCCTTGGTTCCATCTGTAATAGTGACCCTGTCCATCTTGTTCCAACTTTTGATTATTTCTTTTTATTTGACCGCAGTGTTGACCTTTTTTTGTTGTTTTGATAATCTCGGCTTCCGCACTTTTTTTTCTTCTGCCTAGCATAACAGGATGTAATTTGTCACTGAGAGGAGAATTAAATTTTTAATTGGGAAATTTTAATTAGGTAGCACTTAATTACACACCATCCATCTTCATCTTCTAATTCTGCTCACTTTCCGTACCTTGAAAATCTAATGTGTGTATCAGGGAGGGAAATACATTTTTAAATGAGAAATTTAATTAGCACCTTCTAATATTCTGCTTACTTTCTGTTCCCTTAAAATTCAGTGTTTATCAAAGAGGGGAAATAAATTATTAATTACCACTTGGTTATACACCACTTTCTGATATTCAACACAGCTTCCATGCCCTTAAATCTCTAGCAGTAGGAATACGCGGAGTAGGAGTAGTTGCCTAATTTATAACTAGAATGACCGTACAGTTCGCATTTCTACCATTTGTTCTGCTAGCATGAGGCATATGTCACAATTTCTGTATCAAGTTGAAAAAATTTCATTTTTCAGTTACTTATGGACGATAGAGAACGCTGCTCTCCTATCACTTATCCGACCGCATTCCAGAAACGGAACCGAAGAACGAGAAATGTACAGTATGTCGTTCTTTCTACATTACGGGTTCCTCCTATGGTTTTCGAAGGACTGCATTAATAAGGCTATAGGGTAAGTGTTTACTTCTTATTCGGTATACACACATGCTATCATCTTATACAAATTCCGTTTTTTTTTAGTTTTTAATTTTATCTGTTATTTGTTTCAGATCTCAGAAGGGCGCCTTATAAAGGTAGGATTTTTTCTCTCTTGTCTTATCTTAGTAGTAGAGGAGACTGACGAGTTGTGAGCATTCTCTCAGTTCCTCATTTTGGTAACATATACGATTGGCAGCAATAAGCCTTTGATCTTCCACCACATCAATTTACTTCATTTTCAGTGTATGCCTATGAATTCATAGTCATGGCGGTTCTATGAACTGAATTGATTTTACGTAATTCTCTGCTGTGAGTGACTTACAAGATCAGTGAAAGTGTATGTAAACGAAGGTAAGTGAGTACATCATTTTAAACTAGTGGTAAGTAGGAGAACTTGACATTGGTGCTACTAATTTTATCGATCACTTTGCTACCAGATATGGCCGGGACCATACTGGGCAAATTTAAGTTTACTCAAACAAAAAACCATAACAAACATGTTATTTCCTCAAATTAATAGACACTAGAAATCCCTTCACGGGTTCCAATACTAAATTCGGTTTAAACTTGATATCTTCAACACTCTTATACTCGGTAGAAAACTCGTACTTCTTTACTAAGGTTGATATGATCACCTTGAGCGCCATAAACGCATACTGACGCCCTGAAACCGGAAGCTATGAAATGAAGTTTAGAGTTCCGATCGTACACACCGACACAATTCCGTGGACCCCCAGAGAATGGCAACCAATCGTAAGGTTCGCGCGCCCTCTCGCCCAAGAATCGATCGGGATAAAACTTTAGCGGTTCCGGCCACACCTCGGGATCGCGATGTAGGGCTATGATCGCAATCGCAACCGACGAACCCGCCGGTATCGTGCAGCTATCCAAAGCGATATCCGCATCGACCTTTCTGGAGATGCACGGCGCCGGCGGGAAGATGCGCAAGGTTTCGCGTAGAACCCGATCGAGCAAATCTTCATCTCCCACGATCACTGCATCGTACAGCTTCTTCTACGAGTGCAAGGGGTAATCTTGGTCTTCGTACGGACTCGACTCACCTGCACGTCGGGGTGCATTCCCAGCATGATCAGCGTGTAGCACATTGTAAGGGTTGTGGTGTCCTTCCCCTACGAAATGCTCTGTGATTATAATTATTAGAATAGGGGGGGGGGGGGCTTACAGCAATTACAAAGGCGTTGATCTCGTCCTGTAGGTCTTTCTCGGTAAACTCGGGGTCTTCTTTGGTTGCGGCGATGAGGGCTTGGAGAAATGTGTTCGACGAATTGGTGTGATTATGCTGTTGTATTGCCTAAAATAGTTTAAACGATAGTTACAAAGACATATTTTCTGCAGAAATTTCTATTTTTCATGCATTATGCTTATAACATCGCCCTCATGCAATTTGCGCAGGAGGGCTCTTGTTGGAGCTTCGGGCTCGACTTGCTGTCATGACTACCTGCGCAGTGACCGCATTGAAGTTCACTAAAGCAGTTGAAAGAGTGATGGCCGAATTTTTGGAACTTAAAGCATCGTGCGATCCGAATATGGTTTTGTATATGGCAGCCATTCCACCCGATGACCCGACGTGTACACGACTGCTAGTCAAGAAATTCGAAGAGGACTTTGAAAGGAAGTAAATTGCAGAAACGAAAGCCCAAAGGATTTCGGAAGAAGAACAGGAGAGCAGAACGAAAGTGGTGTACTAAAAGTGTAGAAGGAGAGAAGCAAGCAGAGGGAGAGTAGAGCATGCAAAAATACAGCAAATAAAGCCTGAAGGAAGGAGAGCAGGATTGTTGGGCCTATGCAACTGCCCAAGTACTGTACGTACCATGTGAACATGCGTGTATATATATTCACAAATCTTCTTATATTCTCTTGATAATGAGCTCAAGTTAAAAATCCAGTCAGAGTGATAGAAGATGTTGTTGATACGCAGGAATACGATGTTTTTGGCTCTAGAATAAAAAGTTCCAATACGCGGTAAGGTTTACACTGGGTTCACCTGTCAAGGCAACTTATGTAGTTCTCCTTGGAACTCTGAGATTGGCCCCTAACTCCTAATCCAGTTTCTAAAATGAATTTGTGAACCATTGTGCCACTGTAAATTACACCTAGGTACCATAAATAAAGTCATTGACACACCCGCTACAATAACGATAGATATCAAAAGAACGCTGTCCAATTCGTTCTTCAAGCTCGTCTGCCAAAATCAGGGCGTGTCGTGCGAATACGTCCGTGAAAGCCTTAAGGATATTTCGATTGAAGATTGGGAGGATAGTTCTCCTGTGCCTTCGCCATTTTGGAACTGAAAGGCCATTTGTGTAGGGGGTTTTGGGTTTGCGCCACTCACCTTCGTGCATAATCAAGCCAAGTCCGATCAAATTTCCCACGAATTTATAGAAATTATGTTTGCCCAACGTGTTAGTGTCATTCAAAATTACCTTCAGGCTCTTCGGATCCCACACCATGAAGAACAGCATAGGTCCTAACCATGCAGGGGTCGGTGACTTGAACTGCTTGGCGAACTTAAACATAGTGTCGAAAGCATCTGCAAAGTGCCGTCAGTACTTCTCACCACTTACCCTTTGGCGACCTCATGAGGTAGAAAGCGCTACCGATCAGTGGAAGCGCAAGTGGCCCAGGTCTTTGTCTTGCCATCTGGTACAGCCTTCTTCGTCCCCAGTAGTAGCGAATGCACCACAGAAGAAAAACTATCATGGTAACTTCGAAGATTTTCCACTCGGTCAACATCTACAATCAACAACGTTTTACATTCGAGAATGGAATATATCAACTCACCGGAACAATTGAGTCAAAATGGAAATATAACAAACAGTTGCTTGGATTTACAATCTATATCAAGATTATTATGTTTTATGGCACTTAATGGGTAGGTATAATTATTATTATTTTTAAAAACCGCCTATCCAGATCAGACACTTTACATTAATTGCAAATGCTGTAGTATTTTATTAAAGAAGATTATGTATAATAAACCTTGACTACTTAGTAACCCAAAATAGTAATAAATTTTAAATATTATTGTAATTTATAATTCTGATTTATTACACTTTTATTTACGCGGGAACTCTCTACTCCATCATCGTTAGTCGTCCCATTGAACTTGCTTACGCTTCAAAGACAAATATATCAAGACATTTTCGGGTCTCTACAATTTTACGAACCTTATCCGATTTGTTTATCTATCATTTTCGTAAAAAAAACTCAGTTATTTCAAAAACAAAGATGGTGTGGGGCGTTCAAGCGTTCAATATCCTGCTTTAACTTCTTAACGGTTTGACCGATTTTAACAAATTTGGTATCTTTGAAAAGAGCACACCTTGAATTTCCCCCAGTAACAAAGCCGATCGGGGAGGTCTTCTTGTGTCCTTTTCCTCAATTCCGAAAATGATCAGCCTCTCTTGAACTTGATCCTTCGCGGATGTATGGAAGAGACCCCATCTGTTTACCTTTTCCCAGGAATTCTGCACGTCCAAACGCTGCTTGGCCGCCACCAGGTCGTCATGTGCCCACGGGACCTTGCGGAGCCTAGGAAGGCAGTCTTCCTGCACTGCCTTCAGGTGTGCGGCCTCCCACAACTGTGGGAGGTTGCCAACCACCTCTTCAAGCCACTCAAGGGAATCGTTTTACTCACGTGAGTGCTAGTATAGCGCCTAAGAACCTTGACCAGGTCATTTTGTACCATATCCTCCTGGTTAGCCCTTAGCCTACCCAAAGGGTTATTGGTATCTATGATCGTTGCCTTTCGTAGCCACTGCGCGGTGCTCCAGCCTTACTGGAACCCACTCTTGGTTGGGGCTCTGGTCTGCCCTTCTTCGTCGGCGGTTGAGTCATTCGACTTCTGCCTCTTTTTCTACCTCTAGGCGCCTGCCTCTGGGTCGGAATTGGATCACGGGGCAGCGGATGGTTTGGAGGTGACTGTTGCAGCAGTTTGGCTCATTTGGTATTCTTTCTCCTCTTCTGCTCAGCGCCGCAGGTGCGCCTGCGTGGTTTTGTGTGTTGTTGAGGCTTGGTGTGTGCCCTGGGATGCTTCCTCTGGTCTAAAGTTTTGATCAGTATCCATGTCAGAAGCGTGCAAATCCGTCCTTGTAGCTCCCCACCTACCACGGAGCCCAACAAGAGGTCCTTACACTAGGAAGTCCGAGTCTAGGAGAAGGTGGGTGGTATAGTTTACCCGGAGGCTCCACAGGGTTTCGTTGGAAAAAATTGAACATAGCGAAGGGCGACTTTTTTAAAGGGTCTTCACGTTGGTACTCTCAGCATATCTTTTAAAAAATGTTAATCTTTCTCGCAGGTGTCCTTCAAAGAATGTAAATATTACACCTTTTAATGACATAAAGACCCCGTAAATTTCCGTAGTATATCAAAAAGATGACTCCTGATTAATATGTATTTTAATCCTTCTTCTTGTTTGAATTGTAAATTCGGCGAGGACCGTCACGGAGATGAATGGCTTAAATAGAAAAGGTCAAGGCTCTCTCTGAATTTAATATTAATGCTGGCTCAATGTTAATGTATTATTTTTGTTGTGCGGAGTGTGACCTGCATTCGGATCTTGGACAAACGCTTCCTCGTGTCCATGCTGGTTTTCACGACGGTGGCATATTAAATGAAAGTGTCGCGGCCGGTGCCCCATTTTTCGTTTGCGTTAGGAATTCGCTTGATAATTTCAGTACAAAGAGGCAGATTAGAATGCCTTCGCCTTTTTTAGCACAAGGCAGTCATCGTAGTAGGCACATTAACCTAGTTAATGTATTAGCAGTTTCCCATATTTAATTCAATCAATTCAACGACTTCCATTAATGGAAGGCAAATAACACGGGAAGTGGCCACGTGTAGATGAGGAAGGACGTGTCTAGGCAGGTATAACTTTGTTCCGTTTTCTTCATTTTTTCAAACCAAAAACTTAAAAAATACAAATTATGAGAACATTTTTAATAATTTTTAACTGTGCACAAATCTTGTGCAAATAAATCGCATTTTTTTAACCGAAATTGCTTAGTAACGAAGTAGCGTGCTATATTTATCGATGTTTACCTTCTTGCTAGAAATGATAATTGGGGATCTTTACACATAAACATTTAAAGGCCCCCGGCATACATTCAAAATTACGCTGTATACTCGTAATGCAAGAAGAATCAAGTCCTTGGGGAAATTATCCGAATTAAGTTTCCACACCGCCAGGAGATGTGTCTCGTTTGGATGTCCCTTTGTGAGTACCCTCCGCCGACAATCCGTTCTTCAGGAATTATAACCGATCGCGGTAAGCGGTCCGAGGAGGAGGGGTATGGTTTGTAGAAATTACTTCGTTTCATCGAGACCTTTCATTAGAGTACCATGAAGAATGAAGCCAGTGCCCCCCCCCCCTTCAATTTTGATAAGGAATAAGAGAGAAGGGTGGTAGTTGGTAAAACACAGTTCCTTGCGTTAAGACCATGAAAGATAAAACAAATTTCTTCGGCGGCGATAGGCGGAACGTCGACAGGAAACGACGGAACGGGAGTGCATCGAGCGCCACCAGAAGTTTTCGGTCCCAGAAATTGTAAAGGGCTAGCGGGGGGCGGCTAAAACAAACTTAAAGCGCACAGCAATTTCCCTATGCGGAAACAGTAAATAATCAGATTCGGTAGCGGTTTCTACGGGAAAGCAAATGCAGGAAAGCGAGACAACCCCCCCCCCCTTTCCTCCTTATAATTAATGAAACGGAAAGTAGCAAAAGCCTACTTTGTAATGAAACGGAACGATAGAAATTAAAAACGTAGTTCGCAAAGCTGCAAAAGTACAAAGATTTTACGTTTCGGTTAAGTATCTTCTTCTCTACCCCCATAAAGTGTCACAAGACATTTGCAACCAACAAAAGCTACTTTTTCTTGGGTAGCGTCAGAGAGAGGCCAATATTTTCTTTTTCCTTGCTAGAAAAGGGCAGAGGTGGTGTCACAACCACTGAAAGCATGGAGGAACAGTTCTAGTCTTTCTCTAAAGTGCCAGACCTATAAGACCTGATCTTCAGGGTCTTATCAAACTGCTAAAATTTCCCCAAAAGCCTTTTTTTTACTCATATTTATTGTTGCTGAAATACCGCTTTGTATTTTTCCTTTAATTACCCTAATTACATAATTACAATTACAAAAATTGCAATAAACGGTACATCGATCCTTAAGCGCAATTAAAAATTTATTATAACGTTCGCGTAACGTATTCATGGCAGAACGGTCAATTTTTTCTAGAAAATATAAAATTTATGCGAATGTGCGGCGGGGCAGCAAAAACCGCTCATTTGTTTACGCACTCGTCTTATATTGATTTATTATGCAATCTGCAGAAAAAAAACGCCAATTTTGTACAGTTAGCTTTTTACGATCGTAATTGTTTGTCCTTTCGCATACAATTAATTAATTAACGAAAACGAGGTGCCTTTAGACTTTCACATTTGTTTAAGATCGTCTTTGCACTTTCTACGAATAGGACAATTAGTACCTCATCGTCTAATTTTCGCTAATTACGTCACCAATTGGCACAAATATTCAAATATTTGTTCTTACTTCACCGCGTATGTGTGTAAGTAATTACAGCTTTCATCAAATTATACGTTGGCTATATTTTTCTCTTGATTACATGATTAGTTTCAAAATTGGTGGAAATTATCTTTACGACATTTTCATAAAAAATCATTGCGTTTACTGCTTCCTATATTACTTTGATGCAAGGTGAACATCTTCACGTTGGAAGTCTTCCTGGTGAATTACGGCCCCGTAATTAATTAACGCGGTCCCTAATTAGGGAGGCAAAAAGAATGTAAATCGCGGCATCCTACACTTTCATAGAGAAAATAAATCATAACATTCTTCGATCAATTTTTTTTTATTAGCGTGAGTGACTCATGAAGTTTACGAGCCGGAATGCGTGTGACAAAAACGCGCCGGTGTCTCCAAGAAAGGGGGACGTATCGTTTCGAAACGCGCACGCTGGAATCCATTCACCTGCGGCACCATACACAGCCTACTTGTTTTCCCTGTTTTAGTAGCAACAGGTGTTTCCAAGCGTTAAGTTGTTTGATGGTACTCGCGGATGTTGGTGTCTTCGCACCCCATACGTCTCTCCACCCACCCCTCGTGCGATGGGTTAGTGCAACGTGCGGTGACTTTTGTGCGCAATTTTTCTGTGAATACCCATTAAGGTAAGCAAGGTGACCAATTGATCACGTCCCATCAAATTACAATAGCACACTTTCGTGAAAGTTTTCGCAAGATTTCAGCAAAAAAATTAGTAAGTTTTAGCCCAGAAAGCGAGAGATATTCTAATATTTGAAAATGTGGAACGTGGACTAAATTCTCCATCTTCTCGTCTAGCCGAATTTTTTCGAAAAATTACTGTCCCAATTGTAATGGTCGCTGGGTAAATGGCGTACGCACATTAAAATTACAGCAGTACTTCAATTCAAGGTTGACTTCGTAGGATATCCTACAATTACTCATCAGTTTCCGGTCCACCCCTTTAGAAAACCTAAGTATACCTATCTGCACGAATTAGATCGATTGGTTCTAAATTAGGCACTTATCTTAATTACTCAAACTTCGTATATAATTAAGCGGTGTCAACAAGACTATCGTTATAATTACCGGTTAATTAGACTCCTCTCATTAGCGATTGAAGACTAAATTTGAAGATAATATACAATACTCACCTGTTTCACTTTTCATTTCGCCAAAGCATTGAAATAATTAATTAGTCAATTTCTTTGTATACAAACAATCCCTGATTCTTTTTAATTAATTGCCGTAACGATGACTGTCGCATTGCCAATTCCCAATTTCGTAGCGAATCCATCCACTTAAGTCTGTGACAATTTAATGAATCGGAAACCAAATTTAATTAATACGCGAATTTGATTGTTTTAAAGGTATCCGTCTACAGGAGCGAAGTAAATTAATTATTGTACGGACGCAATTAATTTAATCTTATAATATTTTCCAATTATTTTTGATATCTACGTTTAATAAATCGTTATTGCATTTTAAATGAATAGCAATCAAATTAATTAAAATTCTCTAATCTAATTCGGTTGCATAACTTCGCCCTATACAGTAATTAATTTCTTTTCCTATGCGTTTCCGCTCTTTTTCGAAATCTATTGCTATTAGATCATCACTTTTTGGTTACTCATTCAGTTCGCACACGTTTTGTAGAATATAAACTATAAAAACTTCAAAATTAATAAATTAAAGCTCAAATTGGGATAATTACGGTTTTGTTTGTTTTTTTTATTGGTCAATATGAAAGATTTTTTTTCGAAATGATAAATACCAAAATTAGTACATTACTTATCAATTAGTTTCTTGTTTTAATTTAATTTAATTTTCTTGGCTGTATTTCATATCTTCATCTTTTAATTAGAGACAATTGACAAATCTATCTCTCAATTTATATTGTATATTTATATTTTATTCATGTATTATCATTTGTTATTTACACCCTACATATGTGATTTCAAATAGTCTAATGGAGTGTATTTTTATATATATATATATATATATATATATATATATATATATATATAGATTTAAAAAGCGCTAAGGTGAGATCATTTTTACATATATTGCAGATAAGGTGAGATCCATTTGGTAAACCCGAGATCCGTTTTCGGATCTCGCCTTTTTTACTGTGTATATCGAGTCTATTAGCTCCGTCGATCATACAGGAAGCTAAATTTCAATTTTCGCCCGGATCTCAACTTTTAGGTTTTTGTCAAAATTTATACACGCGAAGTTCTTGAATGATCATCTTAGGGGGCGCTGCTTACGTTATATATAATGCGTTATATTTTAAATAAAGTGAGATCCAAATAAACGGCAACATTGTAAAGCGGTACTCTCGCTTTAAAGTGCGATAGCAAATAATGAAAGAGGTAGCTGTACTATGTGCGCTTTAACGTAAATAATTTGTTATCTGCCACCTCGTATGTATTATTCCTAATCCACGTTACGGTATAAGGGCGGATTTGTATTAAAGAGATTAAACTGGTGGATTGAGGAGAAATGTAAAATAACGTTTAGTATATTTTAATAAGCACATTAAATTAATAAATTAATAATTAAAATAAGAGGGTCATAATGGATTCTAAGGGTATCGAAACTATAAGCTAGGAACACACCTACCACGGTGCCCAATAAGGGAATTTGATACACTTTCGATGACCACCTGTATTTTGATCAAAAGATGTCAAAAACGTTATTTCTATACCAAGTTCATCGGGAAAAGAACCAAAGATATTACAGCGCTGTCTAAATTTGGTAAATTGTTTATGATTGATTTTACCAATTAGGTATCCTACGCGTAGTGGAAGAGAGGTACAAAGCAGTTTTATTCTGATTTCTTCGGGTTTGGTGTTTACCTACACATGATTGCAGGATAAGTTCGATGTTTTTGAACTGAAATTGTCACCTCCATGATTTGAACCAATTTGACTAACCAAAGCATCTTTCTTCAAAAATGAACTTTTTACAGATTTCGTTACGAAATACTGAACAACCTAATGGTTTAGGTACATGTAATCATAAGCAAATATCTTTAGGGTTCTTGGGATTGCATTTTACTAACCAGGCAGCATACAGTACTGGAAGAGAGATAAGAAAGCAATTTGATAATGAGTTCTTTGGATTTGGTGTTTATACATGATTGTAGGGTGAATTAGTAGCTTTTGAACCAAAATGGCCACCTCCATGGTTTGAACCAATTTGACTAACGAAAGCATCTTTCCTCAAAAATGAACTTTTTGCAGATTTCATTACGAAATACTGAACAACCTAATGGTTTACATGTAATCATAAGCAAATAACTTTAGAGTTCTTGTGATTGCTTTTTACCAACCGCACCATACGATACTGGAAGAGAGATAAGAAAGCAATTTGATAATGATTTCTTTGGATTTGGTGTTTATACATGATTGTAGGATGAATTAGATGTTTTTGAACCAAAATGGCCACCTCCATGGTTTGAACCAATTTGACTAACCAAGGCATCTTTCTTAAAAAATGAACTTTTTGCAGATTTCGTTACGAAATACTGAACAACCTAATGGTTTACATGTAATCATAAGCAAATAACTTTAGAGTTATTGTGATTGCTTTTTACCAACCAGGCACCATACGATACTGGAAGAGAGATAAGAAAGCAATTTGATAATGAGTTTTTTTGGATTTGGTATTTACACATGATTGTAGGATGAATTAGATGTTTTTGAACCAAAATGGCCACCTCCATGGTTTGAACCAATTTGACTAACCAAGGCACCTTTCTTAAAAAATGAACTGTTTGCAGATTTCGTTACGAAATACTGAACAACCTTATGGTTTACATGTAATCATAAGCAAATAACTTTAGAGTTCTTGTGATTGCTTTTTACCAACCATGCACCATAAGGTACTAGAAGAGAGATAAGAAAGCAATTTGATAATGAGTTCTTTGGATTTGGTATTTACACATGATTGTAGGATGAATTAGATGTTTTTGAACCAAAATGGCCACCTCCATGGTTTGAACCAATTTGACTAACCAAGGCATCTTTCTTAAAAAATGAACTTTTTGCAATTTCGTTACGAAATACTGAACAACCTAATGGTTTACATGTAATCATAAGCAAATAACTTTAGAGTTCTTGTGATTGCTTTTTACCAACTATGCACCATAAGGTACTAGAAGAGAGATAAGAAAGCAATTTGATAATGAGTTCTTTGGATTTGGTATTTGCACATGATTGTAGGATGAATGAGATGTTTTTGAACCAAAATGGCCACCTCCATGGTTTGAACCAATTTGACTAAGCAAGGCATCTGTCTTAAAAAATGAACTTTTTGCAGATTTCGTTACGAAATACTGAACAACCTAATGGTTTACATGTAATCATAAGCAAATAACTTTAGAGTTCTTGTGATTGCTTTTTACCAACCATGCACCATAAGGTACTAGAAGAGAGATAAGAAAGCAATTTGATAATGAGTTCTTTGGATTTGGTATTTACACATGATTGTAGGATGAATTAGATGTTTTTGAACCAAAATGGCCACCTCCATGGTTTGAACCAATTTGACTAACCAAGGCATCTTTCTTAAAAAATGAACTTTTTGCAGATTTCGTTACGAAATACTGAACAACCTTATGGTTTACATGTAATCATAAGCAAATAACTTTAGAGTTCTTGTGATTGCTTTTTACCAACCATGCACCATAAGGTACTAGAAGAGAGATAAGAAAGCAATTTGATAATGAGTTTCTTTGGATTTGGTATTTACACATGATTGTAGGATGAATTAGATGTTTTTGAACCAAAATGGCCACCTCCATGGTTTGAACCAATTTGACTAACCAAGGCATCTTTCTTAAAAAATGAACTTTTTGCAGATTTCGTTACGAAATACTGAACAACCTAATGGTTTACATGTAATCATAAGCAAATAACTTTAGAGTTCTTGTGATTGCTTTTTACCAACCATGCACCATAAGGTACTAGAAGAGAGATAAGAAAGCAATTTGATAATGAGTTCTTTGGATTTGGTATTTACACATGATTGTAGGATGAATTAGATGTTTTTGAACCAAAATGGCCACCTCCATGGTTTGAACCAATTTGACTAAGCAAGGCATCTGTCTTAAAAAATGAACTTTTTGCAGATTTCGTTACGAAATACTGAACAACCTTATGGTTTACATGTAATCATAAGCAAATAACCTTAGAGTTCTTGTGATTGCTTTTACCAACCAGGCACCATACGATACTGGAAGAGAGATAAGGAAGCAATTTGATAATGATTTCTTTGGGTTTGGTGTTTATACATGATTGTAGGATGAATACCTAAACATAATCAATTTTGAAACATTTCAGATAATGCCAAAAAATTATTACATTAATTATAATGGCAATTGTACCTTGAAAGTGAGTTTGAATTGGGTCCTTTAATTCAAAGATGTAGACTTATGCACCATTATTAGCTGTTAGAAAAAAAAAAACATTTCCAACCGGAACTCTTTCCTTCAATAAATAGCTAATCGTTATAATTTATCATCGATGTAAAATATAGTATTACACTAGGTATTATTTAATTAAATGTTATATTTCAAGCCCCGGGTGCCAAATAATGTTAACGCACCGCTTTATGGAAGAAAGAATACGCGAAGAAATCCCACAGGAAGGCTAACAACCTGTTAAGTATTCGCAAAAGATAATGAAATCTATTTTTAGAACAAGTACATTTGACAACACCGCATGATCTCTCCTTATCACACCAATGTCATTTTATACACTATATGATCTCTACTTAAGTGTATTTATTTTTGGATCTCATCCTAACTGCTTTTTATATGGATAATTTTAATTGTATAATTCCTTTCCCCTCTATAGGGGTAATGATAGAAGGACATATTTCATGTCGTTGGCAACCCAATATACACGAATATTTTTAACTTTAAAGGGGGATCTCAGGTTATCCTACTATTATCCGGATCTCGACTTATATCAATAATAGATATATATATATATATATTATATAATATATATATAAATAGAAGAGGAAGACGTTAATCGGAGCTTCTTTTATGGGGCCCGTTTACAAATAACCTCGCCGTTTTGTTTTGGGTTATTTCCATATTTGAAAAAACAGTCTGTCATTGTTTAATTGTAAAGTAAAGTAGTGTAGAAGAAAGCTAGGGAGCGTTTCTTTACGTCGTAATAAAAGTAGGCGTGTTTCCAGGATTACGTAAGTTTCCCAATGTCCGTTAAAAGGAATGTTGTCCACCATCAAAGAGCCAACACTATAATTACAATTACAACTAAATCAGTGTTGTCTAAATCGAGATTCGATTTGATCTAGCTGTGTTTGTGCGTCATTTATTGTAAATCGCAGTTACGACAGGAGATTTTGAATTATTAATATTGATGTCGTTCTATCGATTGCTTTTTGCCTCAATTCTGCCCTGGTAGTCTGTTTTTCTTTCAGCTTATTTGATTGTTTTATGAGCAATAAATTTGTTCCTCTGTAAATGGTTGGCCGGTTTCCTTTCAAAAGGACAAATGCGCTTTAAACAACTGTGAGCCAGGCGAGCGGTCACAATTGCAATAGTCTTTAATCTACAACAAAAAGAGAGAAGAATAATGCAACTGAAAACCATTATGATTTATTTTAACCTTACATTTACTTACATTCGGATAAAATTAACATTTACAATTTCAGCCTCTGTATATCCTCTTGCTTAAAATCAATCCTGAAAGAAGTAAATAAATAAGGGATACTCGTACAAAATGCCACACCTTAAACCCATTATTGTTCTAACTTCAGTAGGGGTTAATCTCCATGTGAGCGCCCCATCATGGTTCCCCCAATAGTCTGTTATTTCTGTAACTTTTTCCAAGTTTAAGATGGTTGCAATTTGTGAGAGTCTCGTAAACTTATCTCGGACCGACCATGTTGTCGCGCTGGTTAAGTACCCGGATAATGACCGCACTTCTTTATCCAACACCAATCCACCTAACTAAATTTAAAAGAAATTAAAATAATCACGGCATTCATCGGAGTAACTTGCTCTATTAAATGCTGACTTAAAAATGACCTTCTCAAATCTTGCGGTTACTTCGCCTATGAGAATTTTTATGAGTCCATCGTAATTGGCCGAGGTCAAACTGTCCTTAAATGAAGAAAGTAACGAATCCAAGTTCATGATTAAAGTTTGAACAAAAGATTCTCCAGCTTCATACTCTGACAGTTCGTCCTAAACAGCAGAGTTACTTTAAGCCGCTAAGGCAGTAGTTCTTACATCATTAAGCTGGTGGTTGATGTTAAGAAATGAATCAACCCAAGGACTAATCCGTGGCTTAATCACACTGACTCGTAACTGTTGCATGCCGTACTCCATTACGTCTTTCAAATTAATAATTACCGATGAGAGACCGGAGAGACAACTTTCTAATTTGCCATGTTCATTAGTGTTCATATTTGGAATTGCCTTTTTCACATCACCTAACGCACTGTCGCATAAAGTCTCTACATACTCAGTACTTGCATCAGCATTATTTAAAGCAATCTAGAATTATGTTGTTAAAGTATGTATGAACATTATTAAATCATACAAGGAAAGCAGTTCGAATCTGTTCGGTATCGCTTGGTTGAAGTCGGCCATGTTGAATAGAGGTTTGAAGGACGTTGTACGCTTGAGTTAGATCTAAATACCCTGATGGATAACCCTGCTTTAACCGTCCACGTAAAATTCCACAAAAATCATTTTCCAAGACTGCGCATGCAATGTTTATAACTGCGCAAATTCCATCTAAGCTTCCACTTGATATTGCACGCCTGCAAAACAATAACTTAGATGGAGCGTCCTGTTTGCGGTCTTCAAGCAATTGTTGGTTAATTTTCCAGAAGCTGACAATTATATTTGGGACACCCTACATACTTTTTAAACCCAAATCCTGTAGTATATGTTAATGTAACAGATAAGTAACTTGATATTTTGAACCTTGTAGCAATGGGTTAAATATCCGGCTCCCTGCCAATGCAGGGAGAGAAGGAAAAGTCACACCAATTTAGAACTGCTACAATAGACTGAAGATATAATATGTCACAGGACAACTTGAGAAGCTCTTAGCAAACTGCAGGGAACTGTAACATCAAGTTCCAAACGAACTAAATTAGAACAAAATTGCCCCCCCCCCCCACTGCACAGGATGTCCTATTAATAAAAGTCACAGAAATCTATGGAACCGTTGTATTTTTTATGCATGTTTGTTGGGTATAATTTAGGAAAAAATATTATTTTTCTGCTTAGCCATGACTCGTACGCCTCTAGCGGTAAACCTAGAAACTTGAAAATAATTTCCAGCGATTTGTTTTGGCCCCTTTGGTAACAAAGTCTTTTACCCCAAGCTGTGCAATTAGCGGTTCCATAGATATGGCATGTGACCTTTATTAATAGGAAACCCTGTACATTAGTATATCCAGATTGTGAGTTTAGGTATTTTTCTGCACTAATTATGTCTTTACATTTGATACAATTTTGAAATAGATAGACTTTTAATTCTTTAAATGGTTATGGTTATTTGTACCATAGGCAACCTGTATATTAACAACAGTAAACAGACCTTATGCATTTGCGGATAATAAAAAATGTATCATCCACCATACTGGAAGTCTGTTGCGCCGTTTCTGTAGAATCGATGCCAACTGCTTTACTGACGGATTCTTCCATAAAGTACTGCTCTAGCTGTAGATATAGGGATAGTAAGTCGTGCTTCCTTCTACTTAAATCACTTGCATTAATGAGCTTATCAAGTTGGAGAATTTGATTATTGCGTTCCTCCGAAATTAAAACGCTTATTTCGATATCAGCCTAAAAGCAGATTATTAACAGAATCAATTTCCGCCACACTGTAAAACCGGCAGGTATTTAGGTATTAGCTGGTTTTTTAAACGGATTTTTTAACACCTGTTTGGTCAAACCTGTTAAAACTGAATGATAGACGGTTAGTAATAAAACAATTGTGTATTAACTGAGTTTACGCCATAAAAAGTTTTAAATTTAATAGTGAGACTTGGAGTTGGGCTGCCAAGCACTCTCGAAACCTACGCGGATGATCAGCCGGGACTTGACATTCAAAATAGAGGAGTTACAGCCGGTTTGTGGAAAAAAAGGCGGATCTAAAAGAGCAAGATCTGCAATTATCGTTCCAACGCGATCACTAAATAACATTAAAAAATTCAAAAAAATTTAACATTGATTCAAAACAATAATAAAAAGATCAAAAACGTGAATTTTTGTATTTTTTTAAACATTTGAACCATTTTTCTAATTCTTTAAAAATATTTTTGAATCTTTTTTAATTTTTTTGAATCACTTGAATCTGTTCTAATATAGTTCCTAGTGTGCCGATCGAGCCGTTTCGGAAGAGTTCAACGACTCTGTATATGGAATAACATATGAAACCTACACTCGGTTTCTACTACAACTATAGTACTACACCATCCACAAATCACCTGTCGAGCTAGCTCCAATAAATCAAAAATTGAAAATTAGAATTTTTGTGATCTTTCCTCGTACATATCCGGCATTTGCTACAAAACAAAATTCTAATAATGACTCAAAATTAATAATTTAAGAGCCTTGATAAAATAGAATAAATAGAAAAAATCTGAACATGAAGACTATATGGATTGTACAATAGATTCAAATAAACACAGAATCAAAAAGAATTTATTTCGAACTCATTCGCAATAAATAATCAAGGAAAATGTATTGTACTTTCTCCCTTTCCTAGGTTTTTGTTATGGTTTTTAAAATTTTGTAACAATAATTCCAACATTACAAACTCTAATTCTTGACCAGACCACAAANTTACGTCTACACCTAAGATTGGCTGTGCGGGCATTTCAAGATAACCGAATCGATCAGTCCCACTATAAAGTGATTGCTGAAGGTTTTTCGCTTGACCTGTAAGTCTCGCTATCATTTCTGATAAGTTTAAGTTTACAAGTTCCCTTTACCGTAGATTCTCTCTTTGAAGATCCGATGACATCTGCCTTGATCAAGACTTTGGCGGTCACAACCCAAAACCTCATGGCTTCTTCACATTCACATAAATCGACACCGGGATGTTTGGAAGGTGCGTTTTTGTCTCTCAAAGATGTCTCGTTGGAGATCACACTAATGAACGTTTTTATAAACTGACTTTATACAATTTTATAATGTTATCTTTCATAGTCTAAGAGCTAGCAACATTCTCATCTGCCACGGCTAATTTGTTTAAGTGTGCGGAGTGATTGGCAAGTTGAGGAGTTGCTAGTTCTACAGAAGTTGAACAAAATGAGGCCATTTTGAAGGCCAGGAAGCATACATGATTTTAATTAACTGTACAAATATACGCAATTGTCACCCTTCTGGATTACAATCGGAGGATGGACAGGGTCCACGTGTACCTAGGCCTCAAATTTGAGCCCTTTGTACTACCTCTATGACTAGCAAGTTGTAAGTACGATCCCTCAACATCACTCAAAAGTACACTTGAGTGACGCCCTATAATGAGGTGTTTGTTTTTCTCACAGTGTTTTATTAGTTCTGCCATCTCAATACTGGGAGGTAGATTGATAGAATCTCCCGGGAGATATACTGATGCTATTACTACTTGAGCATTACCCTGTGTGTCACAGCTTAACTGTATAATCGTGATATCACGGGCAGCAGAAGAGCTTGTACGGTGACCAGGTTTTTCTTACTGTTTATCGAAGTAAATGGTTCCTATCGTGTTCCCAAGACCCCAAACGCTAGATTTAATAACCCAGGGTTCTTGAATAATAAGGTAATTTCATATCAAGTCCATTCCTTCACAGAGTATAGGGCCAAGTCTTTCTTTTGGACGTTCTTATCGCGAAATTGTGGGGCCTTGGAAATAAATTCGGTTAATGGTACGAAACATTACTTGGGATTTAAGGAGCATCACCGTCCTGGGTGCTCCATCTCACTATTAGCGCAATCGCGGTCACATTGGGTGTGGGGAACCTCTTACTCTGCACATTGGATGCCGCCTTGCTGTGCTAGGTTTACCTGTAGGAAGGCGATTTTGTCCCCCTAGGCACATTGGCCGGACCACTGGCATTCGCGGGGAGCCTGCGGGTTGTTCCGTTTGTCCTTTTTGTCCCTCTTCTTTGTTTGGCCACTGTTCGTGCTGTATTTTGGAGTTTGGGTGCCTGGCGCTCCTCTGGTTGCCCTCTCCGGAGCTCCCTTGGAAGTGGTGCCAATAGCATTAGATTTGCTAGATCCTTAAGGCTTCATTAAGACCTTTTACAGGGGCACCTCTAAAAAGCATTATGCGGGTCACTCTATAATTGGGCGAAAGCCTGTTGAGTGCCCAGAACAAGAGAAGGACAATAAATTAAATTTAAATTGCCACTTGTCCAAACTGGCATCTTAGCGAGGATTGGTCGACTGTCATCGTTAGATGAACAAGGGCACTCTCGTGTTCTCTGTTCAGCATTCGCCATTCCTTAGTGTTGAAGCCGGTGTTCTGCTTCTGAAACAAACCAAGGATACGCTCCGTGCTCTCGTCGGTGCTGTCTGGAAAGTAGGCGTTCACAACAGTCGCCTTTGGAATCTCTTTGTCATCGACAGCTCTTAGTGTCGCACCCTCCCATGGCTTGAAGCTTGGCACCACTCCTTTGAGCCATTCTGCGGTGGTCGCATCTGCGCAGTTGACCCGCAACAGGCCTGGTTTGAACGTAGAACCTAGGAATTGAGGACACACCGTACCTCTTTCCAGGTTTCTAAGGGTTTCAAGGATTCACCCGCACACATGCAGTATCCCTACTTTTTTACCCTCTGTAGCCTGTTTATCGGTTGTAGAATGTAGAGGGATTGACCGGGTCTTGTGGAACCTACTCCCACTTAGACATGACGTCGTTTCCCTGCGTGGCTGCTTCCTTGTCTGGGGGAGCCGCGGGTGTGGTATCGACGGCCCGGGACGACCTTTTTTTTCCTCTGTCCGAGTTACCTTGTCCTTTCGGCGGTGCATACTGCTGGATGGCTTGCTCGGCTGTTTGAACCAGCTTTACACTGTAACCTATGTTGCCATTAAAAAAATTTAAAATGGCGATCGCGTTCAAAAACCATGTTTCAACACTCAAACGGTTTGAGCGGAGAGCCTTGGTTCCATCTGTAATAGTGACCCTGTCCATCTTGTTCCAACTTTTGATTATTTCTTTTTATTTGACCGCAGTGTTGACCTTTTTTTGTTGTTTTGATAATCTCGGCTTCCGCACTTTTTTTTCTTCTGCCTAGCATAACAGGATGTAATTTGTCACTGAGAGGAGAATTAAATTTTTAATTGGGAAATTTTAATTAGGTAGCACTTAATTACACACCATCCATCTTCATCTTCTAATTCTGCTCACTTTCCGTACCTTGAAAATCTAATGTGTGTATCAGGGAGGGAAATACATTTTTAAATGAGAAATTTAATTAGCACCTTCTAATATTCTGCTTACTTTCTGTTCCCTTAAAATTCAGTGTTTATCAAAGAGGGGAAATAAATTATTAATTACCACTTGGTTATACACCACTTTCTGATATTCAACACAGCTTCCATGCCCTTAAATCTCTAGCAGTAGGAATACGCGGAGTAGGAGTAGTTGCCTAATTTATAACTAGAATGACCGTACAGTTCGCATTTCTACCATTTGTTCTGCTAGCATGAGGCATATGTCACAATTTCTGTATCAAGTTGAAAAAATTTCATTTTTCAGTTACTTATGGACGATAGAGAACGCTGCTCTCCTATCACTTATCCGACCGCATTCCAGAAACGGAACCGAAGAACGAGAAATGTACAGTATGTCGTTCTTTCTACATTACGGGTTCCTCCTATGGTTTTCGAAGGACTGCATTAATAAGGCTATAGGGTAAGTGTTTACTTCTTATTCGGTATACACACATGCTATCATCTTATACAAATTCCGTTTTTTTTTAGTTTTTAATTTTATCTGTTATTTGTTTCAGATCTCAGAAGGGCGCCTTATAAAGGTAGGATTTTTTCTCTCTTGTCTTATCTTAGTAGTAGAGGAGACTGACGAGTTGTGAGCATTCTCTCAGTTCCTCATTTTGGTAACATATACGATTGGCAGCAATAAGCCTTTGATCTTCCACCACATCAATTTACTTCATTTTCAGTGTATGCCTATGAATTCATAGTCATGGCGGTTCTATGAACTGAATTGATTTTACGTAATTCTCTGCTGTGAGTGACTTACAAGATCAGTGAAAGTGTATGTAAACGAAGGTAAGTGAGTACATCATTTTAAACTAGTGGTAAGTAGGAGAACTTGACATTGGTGCTACTAATTTTATCGGTCACTTTGCTACCAGATATGGCCGGGACCATACTGGGCAAATTTAAGTTTACTCAAACAAAAAACCATAACAAACATGTTATTTCCTCAAATTAATAGACACTAGAAATCCCTTCACGGGTTCCAATACTAAATTCGGTTTAAACTTGATATCTTCAACACTCTTATACTCGGTAGAAAACTCGTACTTCTTTACTAAGGTTGATATGATCACCTTGAGCGCCATAAACGCATACTGACGCCCTGAAACCGGAAGCTATGAAATGAAGTTTAGAGTTCCGATCGTACACACCGACACAATTCCGTGGACCCCCAGAGAATGGCAACCAGTCGTAAGGTTCGCGCGCCCTCTCGCCCAAGAATCGATCGGGATCAAACTTTAGCGGTTCCGGCCACACCTCGGGATCACGATGTAGGGCTATGATCGCAATCGCAACCGACGATCCCGCCGGTATCGTGCAGCTATCCAAAGCGATATCCGCGTCGACCTTTCTGGAGATGCACGGCGCCGGCGGGAAGATGCGCAAGGTTTCGCGTAGAACCCGATCAAGCAAATCTTCACCTCCCACGATCACTTCATCGTACAACTTCTTCTACGAGTGCAAGGGGTAATCTTGGTCTTCGTACGGACTCGACTCACCTGCACGTCGGGGTGCATTCCCAGCATGATCAGCGTGTAGCACATTGTAAGGGTTGTGGTGTCCTTCCCCTACGAAATGCTCTGTGATTATATTGATGGAAGTGGGGGGGGGGGCTTACGGCAATTACAAAGGCGTTGATCTCGTCCTGTAGGTCTTTCTCGGTAAACTCGGGGTCTTCTTTGGTTGCGGCGATGAGAGCTTGGAGAAATGTGTTCGACAAATTGGTGTGATTATGTTGTTGTATTGCCTAAAATAGTTTAAACGATAGTTACAAAGACATATTTTCTGCAAAAATTTCTATTTTTCATGCATTATGCTTATAACATCGCCCTCATGCAATTTGCACAGGAAGGCTCTTGTTGGAGCTTCGGGTACGACTTGCTGTCATGACTACCTGCGCAGTGACCGCATTGAAGTTCACTACGGCAGTTGAAAGAGTGATGACCGAATTTTTGGCACTTACAGCACCGTGCGATCCGAATATGGTTTTGTATATGGCAGCCATTCCACCCGATGACCCGACGTATACACGACTGCTAGTCAAGAAATTCGAAGAGGACTTTGAAAGGAAGTAAATTGCAGAAACGAAAGCCCAAAGGATTTCGGAAGAAGAACAGGAGAGCAGAACGAAAGTGGTGTACTAAAAGTGTAGAAGGAGAGAAGCAAGCAGAGGGAGAGTACAGCATGCAAAAATACAGCAAATAAAGCCTGAAGGAAGGAGAGCAGGATTGTTGGGCCTATGCTACTGCCCAAGTACTGTACGTACCATGTGAACATGCGTGTATATATATTCACATATCTTCTTATATTCTCTTGATAATGGGCTCAAGTTAAAAATCCAGTCAGAGTGATAGAATATGTTGTTAATACGCAGAAATACGATGTTTTTGGCTCTAGAATAAAAAGTTCCAATACGCGGTAAGGTTTACACTGGGTTCACCTGTCAAGGCAACTTATGTAGTTCTCCTTGGAACTCTGAGATTGACCCATAACTCCTAATCCAGTTTCTAAAATGAATTTGTGAACCATTGTGCCACTATAAATTACACCTAGGTACCATAAATAAAGTCATTGACACACCCGCTACAGTAACGATAGATATCAAAAGAACGCTGTCCGATTCGTTCTTCCAGCTCGTCGGCCAAAATCAGGGCGTGTCGTGCGAATACGTCCGTGAAAGCCTTAAGGATATTTCGATTGAAGATTGGCAGGATAGTTCTCCTGTGCCTTCGCCATTTTGGAACTGAAAGGCCATTGTGTATGGGGTTTTGGATTTGCGCCACTCACCTTCGTGCATAATCAAGCCAAGTCCGATCAAATTTCCCACGAATTTATAGAAATTATGTTTGCCCAACGTGTTAGTGTCATTCAAAATTACCTTCAGGCTCTTCGGATCCCACACCATGAAGAACAGCATAGGTCCTAACCATGCAGGGGTCGGTGACTTGAACTGCTTGGCGAACTTAAACATAGTGTCGAAAGCATCTGCAAAGTGCCGTCAGTACTTCTCACCACTTACCCTTTGGCGACCTCATGAGGTAGAAAGCGCTACCGATCAGTGGAAGCGCAAGTGGCCCAGGTCTTTGTCTTGCCATCTGGTACAGCCTTCTTCGTCCCCAGTAGTAGCGAATGCACCACAGAAAAAAAACTATCATGGTAACTTCGAAGATTTTCCACTCGGTCAACATCTACAATCAACAACGTTTTACATTCGAGAATGGAATATATCAACTCACCGGAACAATTGAGTCAAAATGGAAATATAACAAACAGTTGCTTGGATTTACAATCTATATCAAGATTATTATGTTTTATGGCACTTAATGGGTAGGTATAATTATTATTATTTTTAAAAACCGCCTATCCAGATCAGACACTTTACATTAATTGCAAATGCTGTAGTATTTTATTAAAGAAGATTATGTATAATAAACCTTGACTACTTAGTAACCCAAAATAGTAATAAATTTTAAATATTATTGTAATTTATAATTCTGATTTATTACACTTTTATTTACGCGGGAACTCTCTACTCCATCATCGTTAGTCGTCCCATTGAACTTGCTTACGCTTCAAAGACAAATATATCAAGACATTTTCGGGTCTCTACAATTTTACGAACCTTATCCGATTTGTTTATCTATCATTTTCGTAAAAAAAACTCAGTTATTTCAAAAACAAAGATGGTGTGGGGCGTTCAAGCGTTCAATATCCTGCTTTAACTTCTTAACGGTTTGACCGATTTTAACAAATTTGGTATCTTTGAAAAGAGCATACCTTGAATTTCCCCCAGTAACAAAGCCGATCGGGGAGGTCTTCTTGTGTCCTTTTCCTCAATTCCGAAAATGATCAGCCTCTCTTGAACTTGATCCTTCGCGGATGTATGGAAGAGACCCCATCTGTTTACCTTTTCCCAGGAATTCTGCACGTCCAAACGCTGCTTGGCCGCCACCAGGTCGTCATGTGCCCACGGGACCTTGCGGAGCCTAGGAAGGCAGTCTTCCTGCACTGCCTTCAGGTGTGCGGCCTCCCACAACTGTGGGAGGTTGCCAACCACCTCTTCAAGCCACTCAAGGGAATCGTTTTACTCACGTGAGTGCTAGTATAGCGCCTAAGAACCTTGACCAGGTCATTTTGTACCATATCCTCCTGGTTAGCCCTTAGCCTACCCAAAGGGTTATTGGTATCTATGATCGTTGCCTTTCGTAGCCACTGCGCGGTGCTCCAGCCTTACTGGAACCCACTCTTGGTTGGGGCTCTGGTCTGCCCTTCTTCGTCGGCGGTTGAGTCATTCGACTTCTGCCTCTTTTTCTACCTCTAGGCGCCTGCCTCTGGGTCGGAATTGGATCACGGGGCAGCGGATGGTTTGGAGGTGACTGTTGCAGCAGTTTGGCTCATTTGGTATTCTTTCTCCTCTTCTGCTCAGCGCCGCAGGTGCGCCTGCGTGGTTTTGTGTGTTGTTGAGGCTTGGTGTGTGCCCTGGGATGCTTCCTCTGGTCTAAAGTTTTGATCAGTATCCATGTCAGAAGCGTGCAAATCCGTCCTTGTAGCTCCCCACCTACCACGGAGCCCAACAAGAGGTCCTTACACTAGGAAGTCCGAGTCTAGGAGAAGGTGGGTGGTATAGTTTACCCGGAGGCTCCACAGGGTTTCGTTGGAAAAAATTGAACATAGCGAAGGGCGACTTTTTTAAAGGGTCTTCACGTTGGTACTCTCAGCATATCTTTTAAAAAATGTTAATCTTTCTCGCAGGTGTCCTTCAAAGAATGTAAATATTACACCTTTTAATGACATAAAGACCCCGTAAATTTCCGTAGTATATCAAAAAGATGACTCCTGATTAATATGTATTTTAATCCTTCTTCTTGTTTGAATTGTAAATTCGGCGAGGACCGTCACGGAGATGAATGGCTTAAATAGAAAAGGTCAAGGCTCTCTCTGAATTTAATATTAATGCTGGCTCAATGTTAATGTATTATTTTTGTTGTGCGGAGTGTGACCTGCATTCGGATCTTGGACAAACGCTTCCTCGTGTCCATGCTGGTTTTCACGACGGTGGCATATTAAATGAAAGTGTCGCGGCCGGTGCCCCATTTTTCGTTTGCGTTAGGAATTCGCTTGATAATTTCGGTAAAAAGAGGCAGATTAGAATGCCTTCGCCTTTTTTAGCACAAGGCAGTCATCGTAGTAGGCACATTAACCTAGTTAATGTATTAGCAGTTTCCCATATTTAATTCAATCAATTCAACGACTTCCATTAATGGAAGGCAAATAACACGGGAAGTGGCCACGTGTAGATGAAGAAGGACGTGTCTAGGCAAGTGTAACTTTGTTCCGTCTTCTAGATTTTTTCAAACCAAAAACTTAAAAAATACAAATTATGAGAACATTTTAAAAAAATTTTAACTGTGCACCAATCTTGTGCAGATAAATCGCATTTTTTGACCGAAATTGCTTAGTAAGGAAGTAGCATGCTATATTTATCGATGCTTCTTGCTAGGAATGATTAATGGGGATCTTTATACATAAACATTTAAAGGCCGCCTAGCATACATTCAAAATCTAAGCTATATACTCGTACCGCAACAAGAATCAACCCCTTGGAGAAATTATCCGAATTAAGTTTCCACACCGCCAGGAGATGTGTCTCGTTTAGATGTCCCTTTGTGAGTACCCTCCGCCGACAATCCGTTCTTCAGGAATTATAACCGATCGCGGTAAGCGGTCCGAGGAGGAGGGGTATGGTTTGTAGAAATTACTTCGTTTCATCGAGACCTTTCATTAGAGTACCATGAAGAATGAAGCCAGTGCCCCCCCCCCCTTCAATTTTGATAAGGAATAAGAGAGAAGGGTGGTAGTTGGTAAAACACAGTTCCTTGCGTTAAGACCATGAAAGATAAAACAAATTTCTTCGGCGGCGATAGGCGGAACGTCGACAGGAAACGACGGAACGGGAGTGCATCGAGCGCCACCAGAAGTTTTCGGTCCCAGAAATTGTAAAGGGCTAGCGGGGGGCGGCTAAAACAAACTTAAAGCGCACAGCAATTTCCCTATGCGGAAACAGTAAATAATCAGATTCGGTAGCGGTTTCTACGGGAAAGCAAATGCAGGAAAGCGAGACAACCCCCCCCCCCTTTCCTCCTTATAATTAATGAAACGGAAAGTAGCAAAAGCCTACTTTGTAATGAAACGGAACGATAGAAATTAAAAACGTAGTTCGCAAAGCTGCAAAAGTACAAAGATTTTACGTTTCGGTTAAGTATCTTCTTCTCTACCCCCATAAAGTGTCACAAGACATTTGCAACCAACAAAAGCTACTTTTTCTTGGGTAGCGTCAGAGAGAGGCCAATATTTTCTTTTTCCTTGCTAGAAAAGGGCAGAGGTGGTGTCACAACCACTGAAAGCATGGAGGAACAGTTCTAGTCTTTCTCTAAAGTGCCAGACCTATAAGACCTGATCTTCAGGGTCTTATCAAACTGCTAAAATTTCCCCAAAAGCCTTTTTTTTACTCATATTTATTGTTGCTGAAATACCGCTTTGTATTTTTCCTTTAATTACCCTAATTACATAATTACAATTACAAAAATTGCAATAAACGGTACATCGATCCTTAAGCGCAATTAAAAATTTATTATAACGTTCGCGTAACGTATTCATGGCAGAACGGTCAATTTTTTCTAGAAAATATAAAATTTATGCGAATGTGCGGCGGGGCAGCAAAAACCGCTCATTTGTTTACGCACTCGTCTTATATTGATTTATTATGCAATCTGCAGAAAAAAAACGCCAATTTTGTACAGTTAGCTTTTTACGATCGTAATTGTTTGTCCTTTCGCATACAATTAATTAATTAACGAAAACGAGGTGCCTTTAGACTTTCACATTTGTTTAAGATCGTCTTTGCACTTTCTACGAATAGGACAATTAGTACCTCATCGTCTAATTTTCGCTAATTACGTCACCAATTGGCACAAATATTCAAATATTTGTTCTTACTTCACCGCGTATGTGTGTAAGTAATTACAGCTTTCATCAAATTATACGTTGGCTATATTTTTCTCTTGATTACATGATTAGTTTCAAAATTGGTGGAAATTATCTTTACGACATTTTCATAAAAAATCATTGCGTTTACTGCTTCCTATATTACTTTGATGCAAGGTGAACATCTTCACGTTGGAAGTCTTCCTGGTGAATTACGGCCCCGTAATTAATTAACGCGGTCCCTAATTAGGGAGGCAAAAAGAATGTAAATCGCGGCATCCTACACTTTCATAGAGAAAATAAATCATAACATTCTTCGATCAATTTTTTTTTATTAGCGTGAGTGACTCATGAAGTTTACGAGCCGGAATGCGTGTGACAAAAACGCGCCGGTGTCTCCAAGAAAGGGGGACGTATCGTTTCGAAACGCGCACGCTGGAATCCATTCACCTGCGGCACCATACACAGCCTACTTGTTTTCCCTGTTTTAGTAGCAACAGGTGTTTCCAAGCGTTAAGTTGTTTGATGGTACTCGCGGATGTTGGTGTCTTCGCACCCCATACGTCTCTCCACCCACCCCTCGTGCGATGGGTTAGTGCAACGTGCGGTGACTTTTGTGCGCAATTTTTCTGTGAATACCCATTAAGGTAAGCAAGGTGACCAATTGATCACGTCCCATCAAATTACAATAGCACACTTTCGTGAAAGTTTTCGCAAGATTTCAGCAAAAAAATTAGTAAGTTTTAGCCCAGAAAGCGAGAGATATTCTAATATTTGAAAATGTGGAACGTGGACTAAATTCTCCATCTTCTCGTCTAGCCGAATTTTTTCGAAAAATTACTGTCCCAATTGTAATGGTCGCTGGGTAAATGGCGTACGCACATTAAAATTACAGCAGTACTTCAATTCAAGGTTGACTTCGTAGGATATCCTACAATTACTCATCAGTTTCCGGTCCACCCCTTTAGAAAACCTAAGTATACCTATCTGCACGAATTAGATCGATTGGTTCTAAATTAGGCACTTATCTTAATTACTCAAACTTCGTATATAATTAAGCGGTGTCAACAAGACTATCGTTATAATTACCGGTTAATTAGACTCCTCTCATTAGCGATTGAAGACTAAATTTGAAGATAATATACAATACTCACCTGTTTCACTTTTCATTTCGCCAAAGCATTGAAATAATTAATTAGTCAATTTCTTTGTATACAAACAATCCCTGATTCTTTTTAATTAATTGCCGTAACGATGACTGTCGCATTGCCAATTCCCAATTTCGTAGCGAATCCATCCACTTAAGTCTGTGACAATTTAATGAATCGGAAACCAAATTTAATTAATACGCGAATTTGATTGTTTTAAAGGTATCCGTCTACAGGAGCGAAGTAAATTAATTATTGTACGGACGCAATTAATTTAATCTTATAATATTTTCCAATTATTTTTGATATCTACGTTTAATAAATCGTTATTGCATTTTAAATGAATAGCAATCAAATTAATTAAAATTCTCTAATCTAATTCGGTTGCATAACTTCGCCCTATACAGTAATTAATTTCTTTTCCTATGCGTTTCCGCTCTTTTTCGAAATCTATTGCTATTAGATCATCACTTTTTGGTTACTCATTCAGTTCGCACACGTTTTGTAGAATATAAACTATAAAAACTTCAAAATTAATAAATTAAAGCTCAAATTGGGATAATTACGGTTTTGTTTGTTTTTTTTATTGGTCAATATGAAAGATTTTTTTTCGAAATGATAAATACCAAAATTAGTACATTACTTATCAATTAGTTTCTTGTTTTAATTTAATTTAATTTTCTTGGCTGTATTTCATATCTTCATCTTTTAATTAGAGACAATTGACAAATCTATCTCTCAATTTATATTGTATATTTATATTTTATTCATGTATTATCATTTGTTATTTACACCCTACATATGTGATTTCAAATAGTCTAATGGAGTGTATATATATATATATATATATATATATATATATATATATATTTAATTGACACACCGCTCTGCCCATTAACATTAATTGACAAGTTCAATTGTCAATCGATTGGGTCTCTCCTGCCTAATTTCCAGTAAGCTAATTTGGTTTAATATTGTTTAAAATCGCCAGTAAAATTGTTAATTAAAGATAATGGGCTCATTAACAGATCTGTCTGTCAGTCTGATAATGACCGCGTGTATCTCCGCGAATTTAAAGTATTTTTCCTTGTTATAATTTTATTGAAATTGACACATCGATCTGTCAATTAGCTCGAATTGACACGTTGTATTGTTAATTAACAATTGACAGGAAATTATAGAAAATTACTTGCATCCGTTTATATGGGTTTATTTCAATAGACTAATTAGTAGTTAAATATGAATATTTTTGGTTTAATTCTGTGGCATTTTTTTTCCTAATTGAGACATCTATCAATTATTGCTAACTATTGGCAAACTTCGTTAATTGAAGCTAATTCGTAGATTTGCCAATTAGTTCTAACTAGTACATGTTTCAATAGCGCTTACTCGAAAGTATTACGAGCATGTTGAATTAATATGAAATTGAATGGAATTGATCTTGTAGAATATTAGAGTGGAATTAGAGAGAGAGAAAATACTCGTGGAAGCCCACTTTTGTGTTTTTCCACATAAAAATGCGCCTCTCAAAAACGGAGAGAGCTATGGGAATTACGCCGCGAATAAAAGGAGTAAGAAGAATTGTCGTGTCGAAATAGGTATGGGAAGAAGGGGGGAGGCGGGAGCTGTTGCGATGTGTGCGGAGGAATTTTTTGAGTAAAATGGCACTTTTGAGGGCGGAACGGGAGATATCGAACAGGACACGCGGCGACGCGATGTTCAGAACGCGCCTTCTACCGAGAAGGAATCCTCTACCCGCCCCAGGTACGTCAAGGTAAAACCAGGACTCTGTAACGTGCGAAGGTGGAGGAGCTACCGAGTTATGCGGTTTTTGAGAGAGTGAGTTGCTCAAATACTGGGTCTTAGAATTGAACCAAAGTTTGATCATCCAGACAGCATCCGCCGACAAGGCAACAGTGCAAAGGACGCATTTTTTGACAATTGCGTTTTACCGTTTACCTACGCAGGTAGATACCAGAAAACTTTGCCTAACTATAAATGGCATAATTTCAATTTGATACTATAGTCCCTATTCAGATTGTATTATATCTAGAAAGGAAATCACACTCTATACAATAACAAATAAGAAAACTTAATTCCGGTGAATTGTTTCAATATAATAACATGAATTTACTTCATATGTTTACCTCTTCTTAAATGTTTTCCATCCCCCCGATGGCAGAGTTCAAATTGCTGGGACGGCCGACCCAAAAGTTTGGACCACTCCCACCTGGATCCAATCAAGAAGACCATATTGCAACAAGCATCTCCAACCACCTACGAAATAGCCCCGGAAATAGCAAACCCGAACAACCAAGGCGCGTTCCTCGGGATAAACCACGTACGTGTACGTCTCCAAAACAAACGCGAGTATGTTGGAAGCGGTGCAATCCATCGAGTTACGGACTATCGGCAGTCCGATATGTTCGTAAGGAACCAAGATATCCTGAACATTCCCAGCTTATCAGAACACGCCCGCTCGTTCGCCAAGAAAACATTCGGCAAGCTGAACAATTCCGACACTCCCTCGGTCGCTCCCCTAGACGAGACGCAACAAACTAACAAGAAGCGGTCCAGGAGGATGCTATACAAGAGCAACGAAATAAAGAATAATTAAAAACATCAAGCAGTATAGAAGCCCGTAGCTAGAGCTGCTCAAGCTTGGTAGAACAGGGTTCCGGGAACGGCCTAGTATCACGCGTTTGGCTGATCGGCTGCCAGCGTCTCGTGTCAGTGCGTTGTTATTTTGAGATACCCATAACAATAATTTTCAAAACAATTCCAACAAACTTTACTTTGAAATTTACTAATTATTGCGAGTGTTTTGTAATTAATTCAATTGGTTTGTAATTATTGACTGCGGGATAAATTACGATATAATTATTAATTAAATTGTCACTTGGACGTGTACCATGATCATCAATGAAATTAACTGTTCTTAATTACGTCTACTAATTCCTACATCTTAATAAAAAAAGTTCTGACAGGTAATTAACAACCGAATTGTTATTGTAAAGTGTATCGCATTACTTCCGCGTAACTTTACCTGATAAATTCTCAAATTTCATCACTGCTAATTATCACACATTCCCATTGATACAATTTTAACTATTCGCCTAAACCGATACTTGGCTTTTAGAAAGTATAGGAATTTAGCTAATTAAATTACCTTAAACGGCTATACGTTGTAAAACGTTTTCTATTTGTAATTGCGATTTTACTTTATATTGTACCAATATTATTATTAACTCGTAAATGTAATTCGAGCGTGGTTCGTAATTATGTAAGGCAGGTGGGTTAAAGTAGGAGAATTCCGAATTCGTAGCAAATTTAAGATTTACAGTTGAATGTATGTAATTAGGTTAATGCCTACGCTGAATTATTTCTATCTCATTTCGTCGATTTATTGTAATGTCTAATTGAAGTTCAAAAGCTAAACACCTTGTAATGCACTATAAGGTACAGTTAAAAGACGTGCAACGCTTGCTTGGGTTCATGATCACAGAAAGTTCAATCTCGGTAGGCGGGCAGGCTGCATTCATAGAAAAAAGTGTAATAACAAATTTGTAACAATGAAACGCGGCTCGAAACAAAAGAAGACCGCCACGCCCTTCGGAATTTTTTAATTAATTATCGTACTGATTCCTAATTAAAAGATGTACAAAATTGCTTGCGTAAACTAGCATTCGATCCCTAATTAAGTCACTATCGGGAATTTGCTCATCCCTAATTAAGGGGTGTACTTGCGCAAACTAATTTAACGGCTTTTGAGCACATCACTAAATTGCGAAAAAAGTGGATATTTAAAATAAATTAACGAAGAAGATGCCAAGGATACCGCGATTATTAAAACACGTACATCCTAAATCGTGTGTCATTATTTCCCAATTTCTGTACGCATTACGCAAGAAAACCCCCTTTTTTGCTCTCTTCTCCTCACAAAAGCAAAGGTCGTAACACGTACTGAACCAAAAAAACAATCACGTACGAGAATTATCCAACAACATGCCAGCACACTACTATCATAAGTAATTAGAAGAAGTAGGTACGTGAACCTTTGTTCCACATAAATAGCACTAAAATGAAAGTATTTGCATAAATACGTCGTTGCGTAACGTAGAAGAAGAAACGTTCAAATTTACTTCAAATTGTAGAAAGTAGTCGAGGAAGTTCGCGAAGTACGGGAAGAGGAAGTGCCATATATCTTTGGATGATGAATTGCGAATTGTCCACATCGCTACCGTTTTGCCCTAATTTTTGACATTCTCTCAAATGAACTTAACAACTTATAATCGTACATAGGTACCACCTACCTGTGGGATTCCCATCGTGATAGAGACGAGCCCTTTGTGGCATATTTTACTTGGTAATGAAGATAAGGGCGTAAGACATCAGCGGCGCCCGTTTGACAGTAGCGCGCCAATATGAGTGTGGGTTCATCAAGGGGTTAATGGTTGTAATGATTGTATTATCATATTAAATATGCCTCGCCGGACGGTAGGATTAATGATTATCGATTTCGGGGGCATGATTCGATCGTTCGGGGGCTTGTTCCAATGAGATATAGATTAAATATCGATTTGGGGGAGTAAGGGTCATCCTTGAGGATGGCGCATTATATAGGGCCGATTCTCAAAAAGTCACTAGGTTTGAAACTATACTGCTTGGATTCGAATTGTTGCTAGTACGGTTCTGGACTAGGGAGTTTGTCGGAGGGGGGAGGGGGATGGTTTATTTCTTCACAAGGGTAGTATATAAAGGATATGATGGAGCACTGTAGAAGTCATTATGATTCTAGTCCATAACTTTTGATTGAGAAGTCCGATCGAAAAAGTACGAATTGTTTTGGATTCTATGCACCAAAATTAATAAGAAAAAGTGTTTTCCCGAGAAATTTTGGTGTAGTCGATTTTTGGTAAAAAAGGAAGGTTATACACTGCTTTTTTTTGAGCCCCGAAAAAAAAATTGTCTCAGATCGACCCGGAAAAAAAATTTTCTTATAGAATGTGGCCTGTAGAATCCATAATTTCAAACAGTTCCAAGAGTGGGCTACTAGTTCAAAAGTTACAGCCCTTTGAATTTTCTTTCGAAATTGGTTTCTAGTCTATAACTTTTGATTGAGAAGTCTGATCGAAAAAGTACGAATTGTTTTGGATTCTACCCACCAAAATTAATAAGAAAAAGTGTTTTCCCGAGAAATTTTGGTGCAGTCGATTTTTGGTAAAAAAGGAAGGTTATACACTGCCTTTTTTTGAGCCCCGAAAAAAATTGTCTCAGATCGACCCGGAAAAAAATTTTCTTATAGAATGTGGCCTGTAGAATCCATAATTTCAAACAGTTCCAAGATTGGGCCACTAGTTCAAAAGTTACAGCCCTTTGAATTTTCTTTCGAAATTGGTTTCTAGTCTATAACTTTTGATTGAGAAGTCTCATCGAAAAAGTACGAATTGTTTTGGATTCTACGCACCAAAATTAATAAGAAAAAGTGTTTTCCCGAGAAATTTTGGTGCAGTCGATTTTTGGTAAAAAAAGGTTATACACTGCCTTTTTTTGAGCCCCGAAGACCAAATTGTCTCGGATCGACCCGGAAAAAAAACTTTCTTATAGAATGTGGCCTGTAGAATCCATAATTTCAAACAGTTCCAAGATTGGGCTACTAGTTCAAAAGTTACAGCCCTTTGAATTTTCTTTCGAAATTGGTTTCTAGTCAATAACTTTTGATTGAGAAGTCCGTTCGAAAAAGTGACTTTTTGAGTTATAGAATCGTGAATCGACAACATATTACGAGCCCCCTAGCAGAGTCCCAAACCTAGTTACTTTTCTAGTGACTTTTTCGCGTCTAGTGACTTTTTCTAGTGCCTTCTTGAGTTATTATCGACCTTATATTACTACTTTCTGCTTCTTATGGAGCTTTCAAACTCTTTTGCTTCTTCGACGCTTTTGACTTGTTCGGATCCCGCGCGGATTTCCCTTCCTTGGCTCCTTTCAGCTTCTCCGTCGTCGACATTTTCCACATCTTCAATTCAGCCCCGCTGTTACAGGCAGGTGAGTTGATGTCGTTGGGTGTCTAGGAATTATGATCGCAACAAGCTTTTTGCTACGGGAAAGTCTGATTCTCGTGAAATTATTTATTCGCATAACTTAACTTAAATTGCGGTCATTTGCTGTTGGTCCTGTAACACGTCGTATAATTCGATTGGCGTATACATTAATTGACCACTTTAGATCGCTCAAGCGATCATTTTGATGGTAGTGAAAGTGTGGGGAGGACCGCTAATGGTAATCAAGTCAATGGTTGATGAGTGAAATTATAGCGACATGATTGGCACCGTTATCGTATATACCTACATAACTTATAAGGTATTTGTAGCGTTCGGCTAGGATTTCACGGTGTAAATATGATTCTTGGTTGCTTTCACAAAACTGCACTATACCTACCTGTACGTGGATATGCAGTTTTTTTCTCATTCCGTGCATGACTGTTCTTGTGACTCAGAATTTGAAACTTTACACGAAAGTGTCACGTAATATCGGCTTGTTTACATCTACATGTAACACGCATAGTTCACAGGTACATACAGTACCTACATGAACAAGTAGGGTGAGACAACCTTTTTACCTCATTTTGTAATACCAGCAAATTGCTATGCAAATATCGACCGACCTCGATTGTGTAAATGTCGCCGCTTTTATAAGCATCCTTCTTTTTGTAGATAATGAACTTCAACTATGCCACCGGCAACGCTACTTCTAAGGGAACCGGCGACATCCTCCCTAACCTCCATAGTTGAGAGGTCCCAGCGAAGACTCCCCCCATTTGCTCAATACGACTTGCGGATCAACTCAACTCAACTGGACCTCGAACTGATATCCTCTCGGCCGGTGACCGACCCCAAATTAGCAACGGACGAAGGATTCGAATCGGACATCGACACAGTTTCGCTAGTTTCCAGTGATGACAGTTTTACCTCGGGAAACGTGCGCGAACTAAAAATTCAAGAGACTGATAGCGCGAACGGTTCCGCAAGTTCTGATTCGGACACCGAACCGGTAATCGCAAAACCATCCCCTTTACCCGCCACCCCCACGACCGAAAGTCATAGTCTAGTCAACTGCGTGTGCTACACGGACATCAAATTCCCCCACCTCCTAGTGTTTGTGATCAAATGCGACGCTCTAGTGTTCAAATTTGAAAATCTGACGGCCCTTAAGACCTTCTACTCCAACTTCAGCACGTTTAAGGCGATCACCAATCAGAAAACCTACAGCTCGGCCAACACCAAATTCAACCTCCTGCAAAGGACAGACAGAAATGGAATTACCCACATCGAGATCACGAAAGGACTGGAAACTCGGCTCAGCCTCCCAAAGGGTCCGGACAACAGCAAAATAATTAGCCTAAATACGCCGGATTTCAAACCGGCAAACCATAATGAAAGTAGACTGTATCTTAAAAACGCCAATTTGAGACAGCGCAGTGAAAGTCATTCGCACCGATCGCCTTCGATAGAGAACATTTTAAGTACACAATCACTTTCGAACACCAACAGCTTAAAGAAAGTCTGGAAGTCCGCCGAGGATCTTCTGGGCGAGGCGCCCAAGCGACCCGAACGCAGGCGTAAGAAGCAACGGGCACCGGACCCTCCCAAACCCGCCGTGCTCCCCTGCCAACTCGTGCGCGTCGACGTCAAACAGTCGCGCTTCCAGGCGCTAACGCAGAAAATCCTCCCGATGTACCCGGCGAAAAAGGCGCCGGAGTGGACCTACTCGGTGCCGAGGTTCCTGCGGCGACCGCGAAGTCAGAGCGAGACGCGCAATATCACCTCCCTCGACTACGGTTACGTCGACTTCACCTACAAGACGGAGGCCGTCTCGAATCGCCTCTTCGGGATGTCGTCCAAATTGAAAGACTTCGGCAGTAAGACGATCGGTCGCAATTACGATTGGGAGGAGACGCGCAGGGGTAGCCTCGGAGGGCTCGGCTACGCCAACGGGGGTAGTTTAAAGAGTGTGATTAAGAAGGACGATAATAAACGGAAGAGTATCGAGAAGAAGGTGACATTCAGTGCTTACACTACTGTGCAAGTCGTTTAAGACTGCGGTACAACCTCCTCTAGCAGTTTTGGCTAGATCCAGGTATTGTGCACATTGTTGTTACGTTTCTAATATCCAACACCCTGTATATAAAAGCTAAAGTGTATATACGATGTAAATTTTTGAATAAATCTTTTTGTTGACTTGGACCCTACTTGATTACCGTCGTTGAAAGAGTGAGGTAAACTAAGAAAAAATTAAATCGTTGCTTTATGGAGCAAAGTACAAGAAGTAGACCAAATTACACGAGCTGTGAGCTCGAAAGTGTTATAAAATCGTTAACCCGCAGCGGAATTGGTGTGTCGATATCAATCAAGCGGTGCCTCTTAATTAAGTTGCAAGTTTGCAAACACAGAAACTAAGTACATCATTAACTAACGGTGCGTTTTAACATAAATCCCTTGTAGTTCAAGGTTTTTGCTTCTGGTAATTAATTAGGCGTCCATGTAATTTGCCGCTCAATCCCTTTTTTCTCACTGCACATTTGCTTTGCCCTCTTTGACATTTTTCTTTCACATCTTCGCATGATTCCTTGGATCACTGGGTTCTCCCTCTTTACTATTATATACTTCCTCGAAGTTTTCATTCCCTGTCCTGCGCTTCTTCAGTTTCTTTGTCTATCATCTTCTACTTCTTGGCCTTTCTTGATTTTTTAACGCTCTCTGCGGGCTCGCTTTGCTTCTGCGGAACTTCTCCGGCATTTTGCAGTTTGTGAACTCGTCTTTTTTGTTTTCTTCGAACCACAGCATAGGAAATCTTCAGTTATGTCACGTGTTGCGAAAGGCGCAAGTCGTCCAAGCATTCTTCTTTTGGATTTTTTCATTATCACTCGACCTACCCAACTCCTTCAAACTTCGTAATTTCTCAAGCTTCTTCCTCTTTCCGATCTCTTGGTCGTTCTCATAGCTTAATCTATTTCCTGAATTTTTTACGTTATTCCCTTGCTTTTACGCATCCAATTGCACCTTGTTCGATTACCCCGTTCGCCTGGTCAATTTCATTATCTTCGATTTAATAATGTCCCTCTCTCCCCAATTCTTTCAGATTCCTCGATTTCTAAAGCTTCTTCGGACTCCCTTTGCTATGCCTCCTAGCCTCCGTCAGAGCTTTGGCTTCATTTTCCTTACTTTTCTATGCTTTCTCATGGTCTTACGTTTTTTTAGTCGCATTTGGACCTGGAAGGTCATTGCTTTCTTAGCCTTAGTCCATCGACTTTCTTGTCTGCCTAACCTAGCTCTCAATTTTTTTGATTTTCACGCTTTTCTAGATATGCTTTCCTTTTTTCCTGCTTCTACAGCTTGTTCTGTTTCTTTTGTTTTTTCCATTTCTTGACAAAATCAACTGAACAGGGGACATGCTCTATGTTTTGTTGTTTAATCATTTATCGTTTTTACCTTTGTTTTTATTTATCGCGCTCAAAAGAGGATGATATACTATAAGGTTCGCGGCACCAAATGGCTTATAATAATTCTGAACTGTTTCGTCGTGGTCAATAAAACGTGCTAGCCTTTTTGCACGGAATAATTTCCGATAGATTCGCTAATGAAACACGAAAATCCTTTTAAGGAACGCGCTCTGAATTACAAAATTTTACAAGGAAAGCTTGTTTGATCGTGTTTGTTTATTCATCAAGGATGTACTGACAGAGGTAAAGCCACACGTGGTCCTTCGAGCCGGACAAGTAACGATCCTCGCCCATAATTGCAGCCTCGTAATACATTAGCCACATACGACAGAAACCTTAAGAAGGCCAACTAATCACACTCATGAAAAGTCAAATTCATTCATCGGTTCGCACGCAACGGGGAGAAGAGGCCGAAGAATGTTGAGATAATCATCGATTCAAAGCGCAAAGATTGTGTTTAGAAGTGCGTAGCCGAAGAACTGGTACTTAAGTAGGTAGATGGCTTAAGGCGCAACAACTTTCCCTCACAGTGCTACACTGGATGGAATTTACAATAACCTCATAACAACGTTCGACGATGGCGTGTAGTGTGTGTAAGTTTTTTTTCATCAATTCTTTCTTCACTCTGCTACTACTAAAAAAACCGGATGAACATCTTCGCCTTTTTCCCAACCATATTTTCAATGCCGTAAAGGTTAAACACTTAAAGACAATAAATTATAACAATACGATTGTTTATTCATTCAATAATGACAATGAGAAAAAGACATAATTAAGAGAAAACCTTGGGAAATGAGCAAGTTCGTACGTTTCTTTCGGTTCCCATTTCATTCACTAAATTGTTATAATTACAACTCGCGTCTTCGTACATTCACTCGTTAAATTTCTCCCATCGCAATTACTCGATTTTGACAGGCCGCCGCCGCGGAGTAATTGGAATAAAAGCTACGTTGGTGGCATTTATGGTAAGAGTATGCGTTGACCTTTTCGGAAAATAAACCAGATATTGGAATTTCTAAGGTAATGGCGAGTACTTTATTATCGAGTTACGCAATAAAAGAAGAAATATGCAAAATGTGTATAGCCGGACAACGACGGTTGTTTATTGCGGAATATTCTTACATAATTCGCAACAGTTATTCTATTTTTTGCGCTTTTTTATGGTAAAGGTAAACGATTCGATTTATGGCTCGTGGGGTTTTACGACCTTTTATTCTTCTGTCCACTGCTCTTCTTTCAAGATAAGTATGTATTTGGTAACGATATTGGTCCATAGTACTCCTCGGTTATGTCCACTGTATCTTTAACAAAGTCTAAGATTTTGATAGGGCGAACCTTTGTTACTTCTTCTTGTGTAATTTTCTCATTTCCACGTAGGTGCCTTTGGTGTGGTGGTTCTTCTTCCTCAACACAATCCTTGCAATCAGTCCCATTTTGTGGAGGTGTGGTCAACCGACAGTGCTCTGTGTCTTATCTTCATCCTACATGGATAATGCAGAAATATCTAGGAATGGTTTCCTCCTTTTCCTTTTGGTAAGGTTCTTTTTTAATAGGCCAACAGTTGCCACGGTTGCTTTTTGTCCTAGGCTTACAGAGTTTCTGTAGCCTCCTTACTCTCCACAACTAGTACCCTCCGGCAGTAGTCATACTGAGGGTTTTATCTTTAGAGATTTCATTAAAGGTGACGATCCCTCCTCGCCATTGACTCTCGGTCGGTATGCCTCTGCCTTAATTACTATAGGTGTAGCGACGGTGAGTTGAAGAGTCTCCATACCTGCTGTAGAGGTCCCCTCGGGGCTCAACACCTCATCCCTTATGCGTCGCTCAATAAGTCTCTCCAATAGATTTAGGAGAAACGACGTTAGACTGATGGGTCTAAGCGACTTTGCTTGGGCGTAGGGGTCTCGTCCAGGTTTCGGTATGAATACGACGTTTACTCCACGCCATAGGTATGCACCCTGGAGGGTAACAGGTCAAGACCTTGTTGTAGTAGAGCAGGAAATATTCCACCCATCCCTTGGGATTTATGCGAAAGTTTTCACTACCCACCTTTTTGGTTAGGTAATTAGGTTCACTATCTGCCGATCCAAAATCCAATTTCCTTTGTTTCTCCTGAGAAGTGGTGCCAGTAGAGTCATTGATTTGCCCGCGTGATTTTGAGCGAGAGCTCTTGATCCTAGAAAGTGTGACTGAAGCAAAAGCTCCAAGTCTCCTTTCGGGTGTCTGATGTATAACCCCCCTCAGTTTTCTTCAAGGAATCGATTTTTTATTCCTTTTGTAGAGCTCTTTGGAATCTGGAATTTGTTCAATTTCCTCGCTGTACCTTTTCCATAAGTCATTTTTTGCCTTCCTCATGGCATTCGGTGAGTGTAGCTTGGATTGAACCCCATTCCCTCGTGTGTTTTTTCTTTATTAAAAAGCTTCCTTGTCTGTGCTCGCAATCCAGAGAGTCCCTTGTTGTTTTTTTTGTATATTCTGCATCTCGTCCCGCCCTGGTTCAGTCTCGTCTCGCGTGGTCTCGCCATACTATCCAAAATTGGTGTAGAGCATATAAAAGGCACCACGAAGGCATGACAAATAATAATGACGTTCTTTATCTATCTGTTAATCACGAAACATAATTATGCGTACTTTAAGGATTTTATTTACCATTACCATTCTGCAGCTAAAAATATTAGTTTTCATAAACTGTATCTGGTAATGTAACTAGGTAGAAAAGTCTCACTGAATTCTTTGTTACTTAAATACTTAAAGATAATCTGTCCAAGTTATTTTGTAAAATCTTACTTTTATGGTCTTAACTACGCGGTAAATATGCAAGTACCTATACCTACAGTAACTGTATTTGGATATGTCATATGTCCACAATATACATTTTACCTTAAGCCGTGCCTTTATTCACATAATTTCGCAAAAACACAAAGAAAAGTGTAAACTCATACTAAAGTACCTATAGCATTTTAGCCCCAATATGGCGACCAGAACGAACTACCAATCAAAAACGAGATACCCGGTTGTATCCGCTGTTCTAAATTGAGTCACACATACCTAGAAACGATTGGATTTAATGCAATAAACTTGTGAAAATACAATGAGAGCATTAAGGGCTTTTAATATAAAGGAATCCGCGATATCCTATTATAAGTATTATAACCAAATCTTATTTTTCCCGCAAAGACAATTACCATTACTTGAGCCTGGTGTTCTATACTTCTTTGAATTCTTTAGATTCTCTAAGTCCAAACTCTTAAGGTTCTTCAGATTATATTCTTTTTAATATCAGTCTGATTCTTATATTTCCTTGATTCCTTCGATTCTTCATTTTCTTCAGACTTTTCGACTTCTCAGGCTCGTTCACTCCTTCACATTTCTTATTTCCTTTTATTCTCTTTGGAAGAAACCGATGATTCTTTAAAATTCTTGAAATTCTTTTTTTTTCAAAATCTTTAAATTCTTCAGATCTATTACATCTAAATCTAAATGCAATTCTCTAAATTGATAAAATTATTCACAAAAATCATTATGAAAAATCTGTCTCTACTGTTTATTGAAAAAGGGCACAATTGGCCCACATGATCTTCATCTAACCTAGTAAGATCTGCCCTCTGGGCCAATTTTCGGAAGTATAAGCACATCGTAATGTTAACAGACTAATTAAGGCTTTTCTTCAAAGCTAATTAACGGTGTAAACCGATGGGTGTGCTGTTCTAACGCGTGAAATGACACTTGCTGCAGCCGCTTTGCAAATATAGGAAGAAAAATGAGCATCATCCGAAGATGCAATTCTTCCTAACATTATGTGAAAGTGTCTTAGGTTCATGAGAAACCATTGACCTTTTAAACATAAACCATTGATAAATCTCCAATTATCAGGAAAGTTAAATTTCTCTTCTTCGCGGAGACTTTAATTATAATTGAATTAAAGTCTCGACGAGTCGATTACGATCGACGCTTGGGACGTTTGTCCCGTTTTTCTCGAAAACCGGTCACAATGGGAAGATCTAATGGCTGACCGGATGCACGTCTGATTGTGAACATTCTCTTAAACAATCGACAAAAACTACTCTAGCGTATAGCAATATCCGCCTTGTCATGGCAACGACTATAATTCGTTTAAATCGAGATACCGAAAGAGGTGTGTGCATCTCCGCGAGCGATTCCTCTTTCTTTGTTTTAGAATGCGGCCGCGTTTTTTTTTTCTCGTTTTCACATTAAAGAAGTATAATTTTAACAGCCCATTTTCTTAATTCGAGTTTACACGTCGACGTTCGAACGCTAATTATATCTGCTGTCACGATCGATTTAGAAATCGCGCATTTGGATATCTTGGGCAAGAAGAAATTAATCGGAAGATTTGCATTTTATCGCCTTTTGGGTTGTGCGATTTCTCAACGCAATTCAATTGTGCTAATCGAGCAATTTAACATGCAGATTCGGGAACAGTTTTGCACCTAAATTTCGCGAAGTCGCCGAGGACCAAGAACTTTAATGAAAGCGAGAAAGGTGAAGAAGGCAAGGATGCTTTAAGTCGAAGACTCTTGTGGTCGTTTCGAGAACCTTTTAGACCTTTTCCAAAACTAATAGAGTCTCGGAAAGCTTTGGAAAGGACTCCATCAGTAGCGCTAGAAAATTTGACTGCTTCTATAAAGCCTAAATCTAGTCCGTAAACTCGGAGAGCTATGGAAAACCTTCGAAGAGCCTAAAAGACCGCTAGGTCAAAAACGGTTTCGAAAGTTCCGAAATTGGCTTAGAAAGTCCTCGAATGCTCCGGAAACTAACATGTTTAGAGCGCTCTGTGCACTCTCCAAACGGTTTTTAGGGTTTTTGCCTACCTTTTGGTTTCTTTTTTAAAGCTCTCTACGTCCGCTCTAAAGTTAGACGAACCTAGAAGGGTTTCTGGTGGCACTACGCCAATTGAAACTTCGTAGTGCTACCCTACTCTCATAGGTTATAGACACAAATCTATCGGCGCAACGTAGTGGGGGATTCTGCTTGGCTTACCCACTCCTTGGCCTAGCATGTTTACTGGCACGAACTGTGCTTCTGCCAGAGCCAGTGGGCAGCCAGTGCAATAACTGTTCTTTTCGCACGCATTAGCCCTCCTACTCTCGGTAGCAGTCCGCTAAGCTTCCCCATTAACTGTGGTGCCCTGTTCGTTGCCCCTATATTACGTATCCCTCCATCGTTAATCTTCAACCTATGATCATTTCCAGGTATTTCATATCTCTCTGAACATAATGTATCTGTTTTCCTTGATGAACTTTTCGCCCCTTTTAGGTGTCGGTGCCAGTCTTTGCAGCTGCTAGTTTTAACTTGCTTGCCTTGCGTTGAGTTTTCCAACACTTTTTACAAGCGCCTGTAGGGCCAGGTCATCCGCATAACACACGATCAAAGTCTCTTCAAAATCTCTTTAACATTCCTTGAAATTCTCTTTAAAGGCTCTTCAAAGCCTCTGCCAAGTCTCTGTTGAAGAGATTTCGAAGACATTGAGCAGACTTTGAAGTGATTTTGAGGCGACTTTTGTAAAACACAAATTTTATTAAGAAGGTCCACGTTTACAGAGCAATTCGTCTAGTTTGATAGCTGAAATCTATTAATTTCTAAAACTATAAGAAGACGTGGAAAACTCCCCAAAGGACATAGAGCTTTGGAAAAACTAGATTTTGAAGAGGGATTTTATAGTGATTCGGAGGCGTGGAGAGACTGAATGGATTCTGAAGGAACTGGAACGATATTGAATGGAATGAAAATACACCTGAAGAGATACTGCAGGAGTAGGTCAAACACGTGACCTTCTATAGCTCAGTTGGTAGAGCGGTGGACTGTAGATGTAACGAGTTAACCGTAATCCATAGGTCGCTGGTTCAAATCCGGCTCGAAGGATTTTTTGTTATACCAATTTTGAAACAGCAGTTCTTCATATACAATCAAATGGAGGACTTTCTTCTTCCAAAGCTGAAAAGTGTTGTTACTTGAGTAATTCGCATTAATATTGCAATATATCGACCTTTGTCTATTTTTAGCATCTCATATCAATATTGTAATTAAACGACATGACATAACTATGAGATTATAATTTTAGAGCGAAAGGAGTGGTTCTGCATTCTGTCTCCGTAATCCCAAATGATAATTGTTGGTTGACGACATATTTAGCGAAAACGCTAATAAGCAAAGTGTGTCAGACCACGGTTCAAATTGGAAACAGTAAAAATAAATGCATTTCTTAAACGTTCTAAGTGACCAGAGGTTAATTAAATTCACAGCCATGCTTCTTAATGTGTAAATGTTTATTGATGTCATTATGCAAAGAACGTCAAGGTGAAAATGGATACCGATATTTGTTCAATTTATCTTGTTTATTCTGCTTAATGGGATAACTTTCTCGATTAACAATTTTGCTGTTGAAATCTTCTGTTTTTAGCTATTAGGAGAATGGGATGTGCATTTCTGGGTTCCATGCAATAATTTTGGAAACGATTTAATATCATAATATCCGTTCGAGCAGACGAACAGATCAATCAACATTGAAGAAGTTTAAAATATTCCAAAATAATCAATTACATAACTCTTTATTGAACGAAGACATGCAGTTGAATCAGGATCATTAATCGCCTAAATCAGACCCAGGAAATTTCTTCTCTATGATCTCTAAGAATTTGGCATCCAGTTTGTTCCCTTTCAATTGCAAATGTGCCAAAGCTGGTAAATTATCAAAAACTGTCTCGGTCAAATCGACGATCGTATTGTTTTCGAGGTACAGTGAGTACATGGAAGACAGCCCCTCTAAAGTCCCCGGTGAAATGTGCGTTAATAAGTTGTTTGACAGGTTGAGTTCCCGAAGCGTCTTCATGTCATCGAAGGTCCCTGGTTTGATCTCCAAAATTTTGTTGTTGTTCAAAAGCAGATAGTGCAAGTCTGATGTGATCGGAATTGATCCTTTGTCTAAAACACGCAGTTCGTTATGGCCCAAATTTAACTTGTTTAGCGATTTCTGCGATTGAAAAACCTCCGCCGGTAACTTTTCGATAACGTTCTTGGATAAGTCCAAGTAAATCAGGTTAGGTAAACCGCTGAAGGCATCTGCCGGAATATCGCCCAGCTGATTGCCATTTAAGTACAACAATCGCAAGTTGCTCAAAGGCTCGAATATTGCCGAATTTATCGTTGAGATTTTGTTATCGCTTAACGACAGCATGTCCAATTTAGACAACCCCTTGAAGGTATCCTTGTTGATCTTCGATAGGTGGTTATTGGAAAGGGTTAGACCTCGTAAGTCTACAAGCTCATCGAAAGTTCCCTGTTCCAGCTCTTCGATTTCGCTGTCCGTCAAGTGCATATCTGTGACATACTCCAGCCCAGCAAGAACTCCTTTTTTCACAAATTTCAACTTGGTCTTCTTAATATGCAGATAGTTCAGGTTTTTCAGAGCAGAAAAGCAGCCTAGCGGTAAATCCTCGATGGGAATGTCTTCAAGGGTCAGACGTCGAAGGGCGGGCAGCACCTTGAAGCTATCGCACGAAATGTGGCCGATCGGGTTGGTTTCCAGATTGAAATTGGAAATCGCCGATAATCCCTTGAGACTTTCCCCATTTACGTTCCTAAGTTTATTACCGGCCAAATTCAAGGACCTCAGCTTGCGCTGTTTCTCAAACGTACCCGCTTCGATGATTTCAATCTCGTTGTTAATCAAGTCTAGGCCGCCCAAGTGAGCTAGTTTATCAAAAACTCCCTTCTCCAACTTGGTAATGCTATTGTCGGTGAGGAGAATTTGTTCGATCGAACTAAGCCCGTCAAACACTCCAGGTGGAAGGGTTCGAAGTTTGTTCTTGGATAGATCTAGATTGGTCAAACTTTTCAGATCGTTAAACTGAGTCGTTGAGATTTCCTTCACTTGGTTGTCGTTCAAGGCGAGCTCCTCCAGACTTCCCAGTCCATCGAAGGAGTGCGGTTCGATCAGTGAAATTTTGTTCTTGGACAATTGGAGCGTTTTCAGTTGACTCATTCCTTGAAAATTGCCGGAGACGATTTTCTCCAGTTCGTTGTTCTTCATATTGACGTCTTCAACGTTTGGATTCCCTGAAAATAAACCTGATGGTAGCGAAGAAAGGAGGTTATTCTGCAACTTCAGTGATACCAGTTTGGGCATGGCTCTAAATACGTCGACGTCTAAGCTAGCGATCTTATTCACGGCGAGATTAATAGAGGTCACTTGAGGAAGGTGTTTAAATAGATCTTTGGGTAGTGCGTTGATCTCGTTGTGGGAGAGATCGAGCGATTTCAAGTTTTTCAAAGTGGATAGAAGATCTTCGTGCAGGATTTTCAGATGATTATGTCCTAAATGCAGTTCATAAAGCGCGTCAAGGTCGTGGAAGATGTGCGCTGGCAAATCTTGCAACTGATTCTTTTCCAATGAAAGCTTTTGAAGATTAACCAGGCCCTTGAAGGTTTCCCCATCGAGCAGATCGAGATTCATTTCATTAAACCAACCTTGTTCAAGTAGTATGAGCTTGGATAGCAACCCAGTGGGTAATTTCGTCATGTTGTTTCCCGTCAAGTACAATGTCTTGATATTAGGGGAATGATCGAAAACACCCGACTCGATTTCGACCGGGTTAACATCCTGCAACTCGAAATAGGTTATCGAATGCATATCGTCGAACGCCCCTTTCGGAATACGTTCCATTTTAGTTGAAAGAATCTGGAATTGCTTTAAATTGTAGAGTTCTGCAAATGCCTGGGAATGAATCGAGCCCACGTTGTTAAAACGGATTAGTAGATTGTCCAAATTTGTCAAGTTTTTAAATGTCCCCGCCGCTATAGTTATGTTGCTGTAAGCGATAACGAACTCCTTGATATTTTCGTAACCTTCAAACCATGTCGCCTCCAAATCGATTTCACTATTTTCCAACTGCAAACCGGTAAAGTCTATAATAGCGTCCTCCAGTTTGAGGCACTCTTCTATTCCACTTCTTAATTGTTTCAAAGAACCTATTCTTTGGCAAACCATCGTATCCGACTGGCAATTACAATCCTGCGACTGCACCGTGGCCAGTCCAATTAAAAACAACAATAGTAATGGCCCCATGGCAACCTAAAAGAATGATACAGAAATCTGAGTCGTGGCAAGTGCTCGGTACTCACCCCGTATCATATACGCTCAGCAACTGAATACGGTTGGGTCACAACAACGAATCCAAAAAGTTATCATACTGCATGTTATCTGCATATGGTGACCAGAGGCGATAACACTCATCAGGGAAGTTCAAGGGGCACTCTGTTGCAAGACGGATTACTAGCCATCACAGAGACGCCCACAAAGGTAAAACTCTTAGGGCACCACTTGAGACTGTAGTCCGCCATCCCCGAACGAGGGTGCGAGTATCTATACCTGGGGTCAGTTAAGCTAAGAACTCTTTGAGAACCCTTGCGAAATAATTTAATAAGAAAAGAAATCCAATGTGTATCACAATTTGCTACTTAAAAAAGTACAAACAAACTTACGTAACTAATTGGTGCTGCATCAACATTTGCAACATTTTTAACGGATATAAAAGATGTAAAACTAAATAGCTACACCTGCAGGATTGTCGATTACATTTTCCTGTGATTTTATGTTCGGCACAGTCCTTGATGAATAAGGACCCGCCATGCCGTCGTTCATTTCGCAGAAACAGATGAAGATTATGTCGACCATTTAACCAATTTCGCGTCTGGACCCATCAATCCTTGACTGTAGACTCGTTGATAGTGTGACTCCGCTCGGCGCCGACGTCCACGTTAAAAACATTACGTAGGTAGTGGAACTTTTGTGAAAGCAGAACGTAAACAACGCTTATCAGTGTTTGTCTGAACACGTAGGTAGCTACCTGTTCCCCGGCGGCCAACCACACAAAATGTTCAACAGGCTTTTGGCAAAACTCAACATAGTAAACGCGCTACTTCCACAGGTAAGCCTAAATCACCTAGGTAGTGAGCATCACTAGCAGATTTTTAGATCTATGCCGGCGCAGTAGCAAGTTCGGTCCATTTTTGGATAGGTGTGGTGCACACTTACTCCTCCGTGCTAATCCCTCAACTGCGAAATGGCGCCGATGCGTTGGAAATTACAAAGAACGAAGAAATGTGGATAAGTAATAATGGCAAAATCTGGTTAGCTCACTGCAGCTCAATTTTTAGTTAATTGCGTTTGCCTGGTCGCGCTGTGCCAGTCAGTGCTCGGTGGAATCTTGACGGATAAGTTTGGTAGGCTGCCCATGTTAAAATCTAGCCTGATTTTCCACGCGATCGGATGGGTTACGATCGCTTTGGGAAGAAGTGGGTCCGTGCTGATTTTGGGTCGGACCGTCACGGGAATCGCCGTAGCTTGCGTCTCCTGCGCGTCACTGGTGTACGTTGCGGAGGTCTCCACGCCAACACTGCGAGCGCCTTTGCTTGCGTTGTCGATGGTTTTCCACGAGCTGGGGTCGCTGGTGACGTACATCATGGGGTACTTGACTTCGTGGCGAGCGTCTGCGTGGATAACGTGCGGGTCGGGCACTATAGCCACGCTGTTGGTGTTCTCCTTGCCACAAAGTCCTTCGTGGCTTGTTTCGAAAAATCGAGAGCCAGAAGCCAGGAAGTCCTTGCGCTGGTTTAATCGGAATGACACCGACATTGTGGAGAAAGAGTTGGAAACTTTGAAATCGGAAGCAAGAGGAAGAGTACACAAGAAGATTATTATGCGCAATTTAATACTTCCAACAGTGTATAGGCCGTTTCTAATTTTGACACTTCTGGGGTTCGCCCAGCAATTTGCAGGAATGAGCATACTTGCGAGGAATTCAATAATTTTCTTTGAGGTACTTAAGCTTTAAACTTTGACGTCATCCATTGCGATTGTTTTAGGAACTTGGAACACAATTCGATCCATACATTGTATTCTCTTGTATGGCTCTTCTACGCATTTTTACTGGGTTAGGGCTGGTAGTGATCATGGGCCAGTTTGGGAGACGACCGATTATGTTTATTGCACTTCTTGGCGTCTTTTTGAGTATGATCATGTCAGGGCTGTACACTGCATGGATTGATGAAGGTGAGTTTTTTCACAGAAGTCTCGATAGTTAATTCAGAGTTTAGGTACCACGCATCAAACCTGGGTGCCACTGTTCATGCTTAACATTTACACTATATTTATGGTAACAATAGCAACAATTTCTGCTACTCTATTGGGCGAACTGTTCCCCGGTGATGTACGAGGACTTATCACGAATATCACCTGGGGGCTTAACAACGTGTACACTTTTCTATCTATTTTTGCGTATCCATCGTTACTGAGTGGCCTACACGGAATAGCAAACGTACAGTTCTTCTTCGCGGGAGTGTCGGCGTTGGCGTGTCTAATATTGCCTTTTTTACCTGAAACTCACATGAAGAGATTGTCGGAAATTGAGGCACACTTTTCTCCCGATAGTCGAAGAAAATCCGTAAAGAAGTTTAACATTGAGATTGACATAATTGTAATCTAGTATTTGCGCTTATTAAATTTAGTTAGACTTATACCTGCCTTCCTATCCACTCCCCAACTGGAAATCAGCGCCTGCAAATTTCCTAAGAAATCAAAGAAGTTGCACAACCGACGAAATCAAGGAGATAAAGGAACTTGAAGATTTCCAAAGACTGAGCGAAGAGGCCGAGTGAGTTTAGGAAAGCAGGGAAATTGCCGTAAAGTTAAATAAAGTCGATCACATCGAAGAAGCCAAAGAAACCTAGGAAGTGGGACATGTTAAAAGACGATAAATGCTCCAAATCTCGACGCAACCGAAAGATAAGAGGGAAAGCTTGACAAGAGAAGATGGCGAAAAAGCTGAAGAAGTCAAGAAGCTATAGGAAATATTATAGAAAACAGGAAACGTATTCTGGTTCGTATTTCTAACATAAAGGGCCTTCGGATGATACTACTTCTAAGATTATAAGTTAAAGAAGAAGAGGGAACCAGGGAGGTTAAAGAACCGAAGAAATTGAGGAAGCAGAAGGTGCCGGATGAAGTAAAAATGTTAACGAAGATAAGTGACAAGGATCTGAAAATGTTACTGTAACTGAAGAACCCTAGCTTGATCCCGCTAGACCTGACAATAGGTATAAATAATTTCGAGTTTCAACAGGTCTTCAGCGCCTTGGCTGGAGGGTACGTCCAGTAGAGCCTCCGAATAAACACCAAAATAATAGAAAAATGCCATCTATGAGGGTGCGACCCTGAAGCGCAGTGGCACTGCGAGAACGACGCACTAAACCGGAACTCGATATGCCCCCCCCCCTCCCGTTTGCCCGCTACGGCCACCTATTTTACCTCTACGCGGCGGGGGGAGACGTCGGAAAACGGCTCGTTGAAAGCACTGCGAGGTCCTTCGTCCTATTCGCCTTCCCGAAACGCATTTTGTCTTTTTTCGACACCCCCCGCTTCACCCCTCAAACATGGATTTTTTCTAAATTACAAATGACGTACTTTAGCGTGTACCCGTGATGGTGAAAATCTAGTTAATTTCTAATGTGACGTTTTCGAACAATTTGCGACCAAGTGCTTCAAAAACGTCACTGGACCTAGAAATGTGAAAAAATTGAAGATGCAGGAAAAGGGTTTGATGAGCAAAACAAAATTGCGGGTTTACACTTGTTCGAAAGATTTGTGTTGCTTCTACGCTGTTTGATAGGCGGAAAAGTCCAAGAAACCAAAAAAGGGAGGTACCAGTAAACGCTGAAGATGCAAAAAGGCAAAGACCAAGAGGCCGAAGAGATCAACGATATAACAAACAACAACAATTTAATTTATTAATACCGACAATACATATCATGTGAGGAATACGAAGCAGATGTTCTAAAAGTCAAAGATGCGAGAAAATAGAAGTTGATGGCAAGGAATAAAAGAGATCTCGGGCAGGGCACCTTGGAGACATCTTAACCTTCAGACGCACATCTAACCGATGTTTTAGAGGAATTGGCCTGTCGGACCATTCAATTGCCCACTGGTTCTCGCAGTTCAGCATCCACAAACGTGCGGCCTTCCATTATTTGGTTGATAACAGCTGATGGAGCGTCTAGTAATTGGGTTACAGTTCGGAAACTAAATCTTTTTTAGCTGAGTAGAACTAGGGCACCACTCGAGACTGTAGCCCGCAATTCCCGAACGAGGGTGCGAGTATCTATACCTGGGGCCAGTTGCAAAAAAACATTTAATAAGAAAAGAAATTCAATGCGTATCACAATTTGATTGAAAGTACAAACAAACACTAATTCGTGCTGCATCAACATTTGCAACATTTTTAACGCATATAAAAAAGTAAAACTATATAGCTACAACTGCAGGATTGTCGATCACATTTTCCTGCGATTTTATGTTCAGCACAGTCCTAGACTTTTCGACGAACTCCATCAGAGAGTGCGACATGTAGTAAGGGCGCGTCATGCCGTCGTTCATTTCGCAATCTTCGCAGAAACAGATGAAGATTGTGTCGACCGCCATCTAAAGCAAACCACATAGTGTCTTACGTACGGCCTTTGACGCTTACCTCATAAATCGTAATGAAACAGTGCGCTATTAAGTAAGCAACGGCACCTACCAATAACAGAATGGCCCACCGATTGTTTATGTGCACATTGTTCTAGAAAAGAATGAATTAAGTTTCATTGCGTCAACGAAAGTAGGAGTACCTGCGTCAAAGCAACACCTACTAGTAGGGTAGCGACAACTATCAACACTTTTGAGAGTACCAAAACAAAATCTCCCACGGAGTTAATTACGGCGATTTGCAGGACGTTCTCCAGAATTAGCTTGAACGCTTTGGTTCCCGATTTAATGAACTCAGTTCCATGTATCGCTGAAAAAATGTCCATTTATTTCTCGACGCACGTTGTTGCCGTTGCGGAGCTGAAACAAACGAGAAAAACCACAAAAAAGCCTCCAGGAGGAGGCGTGACGACGTAATGCTTGAACAACCGTAGCTGGCAAACGATAGATGTTAAAGAATAAATTGGCCGTGGTCTCGAATGGCCTCGTGGCGGAATCGTATTGCAAATTGAGGTCTGAAAGCAAAAGCCGAAAGAAAAACGGTCCTTTGGGGGCTAAATTGTTCAAGTGTGGAACGGATGAGAACGGATTTAGGAAGTGGTCTGGTTAGATATGAATAGGGTTGTGAGATGCTTGCAAATCTGCCATCCAAAGATATACGAGAAGTCAAAGGTACTTCAGGTTCTCGCGTTTTTTGTGGTTTTTGGTGTTTGCGTCAGACTGTCCTCTTTTTTTTGCAACAACAAATAGCTTACATGTCACAATGTAGGCGTTCCTCGTCAAATACTTCAAAAAGCTTTCTATATAGTTCATGCACTCGTCGATGCGTGATGTAACGCAACACAAGCAGCACAAAAACAGCAGGTACCTCTGAAATCTGCGACAAGAACGTAGGGCAACTCGTAAAATTTGAACGAGTGCGACCAAAAGTGACCCGAACGATATGGTTCCCAAGTGATAGCGCAACATAGTAGACACACTAGTCAGCATAGGGTTACCAAGAGCCGCTTTGTTTCTGAAACAAGAATCAATCATCCTCAGCAGAGTTAGTATCAGTCTTACCGAGTAAAGTACCATCTTGAGACAGTACCAGCTATGATCATATTCTGGCATCCGTATATAAACTGAATCATCCAGAGCATTATGAACAAGTTGTACCATCGAATGAAATGGTATAGTCCGTTTTTGTAAAAAACAATTTGACCAGAATAGATTTCTCGAACGCTACCTGTGCTTTCGATCCAAAGCGTGAAGTACACCCAAGCGATGGCCGCCACTCCCAACGCGACACACGTCTGCAATAACTTACGTTTGTACACTTCCTTCGAAGTGATCATATTACCAAGAGTGGTTGCAGTAGAAGCATCGGAACGGCGGTTATCGACTTTCCTGCCTCCTTTAAAAGCTGAATGACCAACTCGATCCGGCGTCGTAGCACTAACACCACCAGGATTAATATTATGGTGAATATACTGCTTATTATCGCCAACGGAGTCAATCCTTCGGTCGTTTCCGTTAGGTACCTACAATTATATTATCTTTAGTTGCTGGATCCCCCCCCCCCCTAGATTAAATTTAACCGATCCAAATAAGTAAACGAGGGGGTTATGGAGGAGCTTTGAATGTTCTGATAGGTACTTTCGAAACTTCAGAGCTTTCCAGAGTCTCATTCTCCCGCTTTTCAGACTTTGAGAGCTTTCTAGTTTTTTCTATACTGGAAAATGCCAAGAGTGCTCGGAAAAAGCACGAAACTCGGAAAAAGCACGAAACTCGGAAACGATGGATGAGACTCTTTAGGATGTTTCGAAAACCTTCTAAGATCGTTACAATGTTTGATCCAAGCTAAATGACTCTGGAAAACCTACGAAGGTTCTGTAAAATGAACTTTATACAATTCTGGCATTTTTTCAGAATTGCCTATACCCTTTGTACAGAGTACTTTTTAACTAGACAATTTTCAAAATTTTAGATACCATCAAAAGTTTCGAATTTTTAGAGCAAGCAAAAAAATACGAGATTCTGCTTACTTACCAAAAGAATCCAGTAAGAGCAGCACACGCAAACAGAACACCAAATAATACAGTCCATACAAATGCAGCAGTCAAATATCTCAATATAAGAAAGATAACGAACGAGAATGCTACAATAATTACTATTATACGATGTCATACCAACATTACTTATACTTACTCAGTGCCAAAAATGTCAAACCAACAATATCAGGAGTGCAAATCTGAAAATCTCGACCTATACTCTAAAACACAAAGTTTAGTGGTGTAAGTAACGAAATGTATAGAAAACCAACATCAAATATTGAATCGTGAGTTACTCGGTGTTCTGACGATAAGCATCGCCTTCCGAAACGCCTGCAATAAACTGATTAATGAAAAATCTAAGGACATGTTATTATTTACTCATATCCAGAGGGGCAGGTTTCAACGCAAGCATGGGAAGATACGAGAAACAACCTATAACAAAGTGATGGAAACATGCAACTTACTATCGATCAACTTACGGTTTATCTGTCATGTCTTCAGCCTTACATATCTCGGCGTTCTCCACGTTGAAGCTGTTCACCTTTCCGCACACGTTCCCGCAATTATCATGACCAACTGTAATTCTTTCGATATCGCCGGTAACCATGCAGTAACCGATGAAGGCTGCCTATAAGAAAGAATTTATGCTAAACAATTTTCATTCCGTTGTTACGTTACACCGCCCCCTTCCTAAGGATGTTGCCTCCCTGCGACAATTTTTTTATACTCGGAAGGTAACCATCTCCGTCTGTCTTTGAAGATGACTCTGAGACGGGCAGTGAGACTCTCGTAACAAACTGGGGGAACTAAATTCGACGCTGGTGACATTTATAGCCCTGTTGAGACACCACAGGAAACAGAATCGATGGTGCTGACATTCAGTCCTAATGGAAATTTGGGCGAACGGAAAGAAAAACGATCACGCCAAAATGTCTCTGGTGTAATCGATGATGGTGCGCCATTAATTCGTAAGGTAAATACCGGAGGAGTATAGAACAACTAAAGACCTTCTGCAGGGGCACCTCTAAAACGCATTATGCGGGTCACTCTGTAATTGGGCGAAAGTCTGTTGAGGGCCCAGAACAAGAGAGTTATGATAATAATAGGTAATAGGAATGCTGATAGTTTTCCGCATTGAGGGAGGGAGATCACGCTAACCTAATCGCCGGGAGGGAGGGGGGGGGGCGAATACTGAGGCGCTGCCAACGACCATACAGTTAAGCTGTGACATACAGGGTAAAGCTCAAGTAATAATAGCATCAGTACATCCCCCGGGAAATTCTGGCAACACTCCAGAAGCGACTATGTCCGATCATAGAATAACTGCATTTGAAATTAACTGCAAGGGAGCCGTCCAAAAGGGTTAGCGCCCAAGGTAACAGATTTTACAAACATCTCCTTAGAAAAAAACTTAGAGAGCACCCTTTCTGGGGGGACGCCTCCTGCCGGCGTAAGTCTTCTTACCAACTCCATTGTGGAGTCTTTTGAACTGCCATGTCCTCTGAAGACTGCCAAGATGCCTTAGTATTGCAGGGCGCTCGAAAAGCAGAAACCTCACTCCAAAAGGTCACGTAATTTTAACAAAATTAAAATTCGCTGTTAGATTTTCAAAATTTTATATACAGGGTGTAGAATTGGTTTACGCACCAGATTTCAATAGTAATTGCTTTATATTGAAATATTTTCTCACTCAATTGTTTTACAGCATTGTTGTAAATAGATTTTTTGTAGATTGTAAAATTCTGCGTCTATTCTATGTTTTGTTATGGGAAATTACGGAAATTATAAATCTGAAACCTATTTACAACTTCGCTCTAAATTAATTAGGGGAGAAAATATTTCTATATAAAAAAATTGGCATTGAAATCTCTATGGTCCGGTAAACCGGTTCTACACCCTGTATGTATAATTGCTACATTTTCATTATTTTCTCCATATTTTTTGTAATTTCTTATGCATTTCCGACTTATTTTCTACAATTTCTAAATATTTCCGACACGTTTACGAAACCTTCACAACTTTCTTTATCGTTTTCAACGCTTTTCCTAGTTTCCAAAATTCTCTATTATAATTTATAAACCATGCTACACGTTTCCGTAACATTTCTGAAAGTTTGGGCACCAGGATATGATAAACATGTAACTGTAAGTATGAAAAAAATAGTCAAATATCAAAAGTATAGGTGTACCGGTAAATTGTGGGCTGTAAGCAGAAAATAGAGAGGAAAAAATTGGTGTCTACCGTTTACCATAATCTAATCACATTCAAAACCGGAAGTTAAGAATCCTCTGTCGCCATTGCGGGTACATTTCAAGGTCACAATAACAAACCGGCAACCGGTTTCATGTATTTGGTTGTAAAAATTCTTCGATACTTACCAAAGCGGCCAAAGAAACGGCCTGTACAATAATAAAAGGAACGTCGGTCCTCTCCCTGTTTCCTGTAACCACATTGTCGGACGAATTCTCTTCGTCTTCGTTCACGTGTTGTTCATATTGTCGATGGCCCCTGATCAAATTGACGGCGGCATTAATCGTCCTTATGGATTCCATTATTCAAGCACAAACTTTCACTCGCTAACAAAAAGTTATTTCAGCATCCACGCACAAAGGAAATTCGAGATCATTACTGAGTGGATGACTAATAATAATCACAGAAAAAGATACATTTGCTTGCGAAGCACATGGGGAATGAATGCATTACATTATCGGCTACATTTAGTTCGTTGTCCCGTCTGCATGCTTGCGCCATCCTTCTTCAGCAAACGGTGGAGGGGCTTAGTAATAAAGCAAGAGGGATTTAGTATTTCAACAAAGTGGGGGTGCTGACTATAAACAAACATTTCGTTATCGATTCGTGATTGTAATAACGGTCCAGTTTTCCTGTTAAGTTTTTTTCCCTAAGCTTTTGTTGATAGTTGCATTGCACAAAAATTATAATCGAACAAACATTTTATCTACGGGTTTTTGTCCCCCTCTCCAAGCATAACTCTTGGACATACTTCAGGCGCCTTGGTTTTTTTCTGCTAATTTTGTTCTTTGTATCACTAAATTGTGTATAAAAATGATATGTTACACGGTCGGCCTTTTGTTGATTTCAGTGCCATTTATAAATACAATACAAAATACAATAGACCAATATCTTCCTAATAGAATATTACAGAGCAAGTTTTACAATTAAACCCAACATGGCATTGCTTAATCAATAGTTTATCAATTTATTATTAACAGGGCCTGTTAAGTAATATTTACCAACACAGAAAATCGGACATTCATATGTTCTTTGTAACAAAGAGTTATAAAAGAACTCTTTTTGGAGGTTTGGGCAGTTTTTGGACTGTAACTTTTTGGCCCGTTGGCCTACGTAGCCGAAACGACGAATAACGACCTTTCTTATATCCTGAAGGATATGTGTATCAATTTTCAAAGGGATCGGACGTTTCTACACAAAGTTATCGTGCACAGACGGACAGACAGCAATACAAAATAAACGATCTCGAGGATCGTTAATAAAAGAAGAAAAATATTTGATTCATTTCTTGTTGTGGTAAAATGCCCCTCCTATGCTGGCTGCATTACCACATTGGATTGCTAATGAAAGCCTTTGTAAAAGGTAGACTTTGGATCGTGGTTCGACAGATTCGTTGAAGCGAGCTTTGAACCAATAAGAAGCAATAAAAATCCCTTTCGGCTCGGCCGATCAGCAGTAGGTAGATTTCTTTAACCGCATTAACATATGAAAGAGTCCGCCATTTTGTTCCAATTCACGAACTTGATCGAGATATTCATGAGTTACACCAACTGACCACCCCTTAAAGTTTGGTCGAAATCAGTTCATAATTATGAAAGAGGTCTGATCGAAAAAGTACGAATCGTTTTGGATTCTACGCACCAAAATTAGTGAGAAAAAGTGTTTTCCTGAGAAATTTTGGAGCAGTCGATTTTTGGTAAAAAAGGAAGGTACACTGCCTTTTTTTGAGGGCCGAAAAAAAATTGTCTGAGATCGACCGGCTGTAACTTTTGAACTAGTAGCCCAATCTTGGAACTGTTTGAAATTATGGATTCTACAGGCCACATTCTATAAGAAAATTTTTTTCCGGGTCGATCTGAGACAATTTTTTTTTTCGGGGCTCAAAAAAAGGCAGTGTATAACCTTCCTTTTTTACCAAAAATCGACTACACCAAAATTTCTCGGGAAAACACTTTTTCTTATTAATTTGGGTGCGTAGAATCCAAATCAATTCGTACTTTTTCGATCAGACTTCTCAATCAAAAGTTATAGACTAGAAACCAATTTCGAAAAAAAATTCAAAGGGCTGTAACTTTTGAACTAGTAGCCCAATCTTGGAACTGTTTGAAATTATGGATTCTACAGGCCACATTCTATAAGAAAATTTTTTTTCCGGGTCGATCTGAGACAATTTTTTTTCGGGGCTCAAAAAAAGGCAGTGTATAACCTTCCTTTTTTACCAAAAATCGACTACACCAAAATTTCTCGGGAAAACACTTTTTCTTATTAATTTGGGTGCGTAGAATCCAAATCAATTCGTACTTTTTCGATCAGACTTCTCAATCAAAAGTTATAGACTAGAAACCAATTTCGAAAGAAAATTCAAAGGGCTGTAACTTTTGAACTAGTAGCCCAATCTTGGAACTGTTTGAAATTATGGATTCTACAGGCCACATTCTATAAGAAAATTTTTTTCCGGGTCGATCTGAGACAATTTTTTTTTCGTGTCTCAAAAAAGGCAGTGTATAACTTTCCTTTTTTACCAAAAATCGACTACACCAAAATTTCTCGGGAAAACACTTTTTCTTATTAATTTTGGTGCGTAGAATCCAAAACAATTCGCCCTTTTTCGATCAGATTTCTCAATCAAAAGTTATAGACTAGAAACCAATTTCGAAAGAAAATTCAAAGGGCTGTAACTTTTGAACTAGTAGCCCAATCATGGAACTGTTTGAAATTATGGATTCTACAGGCCACATTCTATAAGAAAATTTTTTTCCGGGTCGATCTGAGACAATTTTTTTTTCGGGGCTCAAGAAAAGGCAGTGTATAACCTTCTTTTTTACCAAAAATCGACTGCACCAAAATTTCTCGGGAAAACACTTTTTCTTATTAATTTTGGTGCGTAGAATCCAAAACAATTCGTACTTTTTCGATCGGAAGTCTCAATCAAAAGTTANAAACCGAGGGTCCAACGTGTTTCGTTTGGGGGCCACCCCCCAAAGAGTGTTGAAATCTGCATTTCTTCTTTAATTTTTTTCTCAGCAACCATAAGAGTTACAAAGTCGGGTGGCATGTCTTTGAATAGGTTTTTGGGTATGCTCTTTCCGATTTTGCAATTTTTTTTTCAAAATTCCTACCCCTAAAGGGCGCACCCCTAAACTAGGGTGCAAAAAAAAAATTCTGATTTCGACGAAATTTGGTATCTGGGGGTTTTTTAACATGAAAATCACGAATCTGAAATTAGTTTTTGAAAATTCGAAAAAAAAAGTTCCACTGCAATTCTTGGCGGGACAACGAAAATAGAGATAATTCCACGAAATTTGTTGTGTACATACTAAACGAGTTAAGGAACAAAACTGCCGAACAGTTTTTTAAAATAAACTTTTCAAACAAAAGTTATACTCATTTGAATGTTGGTCCTTCGGGTCGCGAAGTGTCCCAAGCCTACTAGTAAGCCATAATTTCGCATGTGTTGGTTGACTATGTCGCAAAAACAAAAGATTAACGGTTTGAGTCGATATTTTGTTATTTGGAATTAATTCGGTCATTAAATGATTAAAAAATTCGATGTATCGATTAAAACACCTACCAAGGTATCTTAAAGCCCTGATCGATTATTTATTATCTAAATAAGGTAGGGGAAAAAGTCAAATCACTTTCCGTATGATACTTTTTCACTATGATCAAAAATTTTCATAATCTTAGGTTGAAAAATAACTTCCAAAAGAACACGCTCCTTTTAAGGACAAATCGAAAAGGTACATTAAATTAATGTGAAGTTAGTTGTTATTTTTATTTCTTCCAATTATCAATTTACCTAAAAACAATGGAATGTTTACTTATTAGGTTCGTCCTTATTGTAAAACGTCAGTTACGTCGTTTTTTGTGTTGCGTTCTTTTTCTTCCGTTCTATTCGAGATGGATAGAAACTATTCGAATTTCGAATTGGCAAACATTCATTACATGTATGGGTTGGCTGATGGAAACTGTTTGGAGGCTCGACGATTGTACGGAGAGAGATTTCCTGACCGAAGGCTTCCTGGTAGTAGTGTTTTCTGAGGTGCATCGCCGCTTAGTAGAAACAGGATCCCTGAGTTATGCCGCACGGGCACGGCCAGTTGGTAGGAATGTTGAATTCGAAGAGCAGGTCCTACAAGAAGTTGAGGAAAATCCTTCCACTAGCACACGGGCTGTATCACGTGTAACTGGTACGAACCACGTCGCTGTATGGCGTGTGATGAAAGAACAACTACTGTACCCGTACCACATTCAAAAAGTACAGCAGCTGCATCCAACGGATTATGGTCTTAGAGTAGAGTTCTGCCATTTCATTGCAAGACGTCGTCGTGGGAACCCTGATTTTCATTCATCTACATATTTTATTTACGGATGAAGCCACGTTTCATCAAGATGGCTATGTTAATGTTAAGAACCGGCACGAATGGAGAGACGAGAACCCACATGCTGTCCTTCCTATAAGAAGTCAACGGAGATTCTCCATTAACTTGTGGGCAGGAATTGTAGGACAGCATCTTTTAGGGCCGTACATGCTGCCTCCACGAATGAATGGAGAGCAATATTTAAGGTTCTTGCAAGAAACCTTATTTGATTATTTGGAAGAGCTACCGCTGCAACTGCGTCAACGACTATGGTACCAACATGATGGCGCACCCCCCCACTTCAATCGTGCCGTCATCGATCACTTGAACGCTACTTTCCCCAATCGTTGGATCGGAAGAGGTGGTCCAGTAGCGTGGCCACCGAGATCGCCCGACCTTACGCCACTAGATTTTTTTTTGTGGGGGCACCTGAAAAATTTAGTGTATAGCGAAAATGGAATAATCGATTCGGTGGAAGAACTGGTTGCTCGCGTGATGGCAGCTTCAGAAGTTATTAAAACCAATCCTATGATGGTGTTGAAGTCGTCAAATTCTGTTCCAAGGAGATGCAGATTGTGCGTGGCTGCTGGCGGTGGCATTTTTGAAAATGTTGCATAAGCATATCGCTTCATTTTTGGAAAAAGTGAAGTCCGTTACTGATCACTAAAAACAAAAAAAGTTCTTTTCAGAACTGCCAAATGTTTTCTAGAAAAAATGAACCGTGACCTTTAAGATTATCTTCAACTGAATAAAACTTTTCCCCTACCTTATTTAGATAATAAACAATCGATCAGCGCTTTAAATACCTTGGTAGGTGTTTTAATCGATACATCGAATTTTTTAATCATTTAATGACCGAATTAATTCCAAATAACAAAATATCGACTCAAACCGTTAATCTTTTGTTTTTGCGACATTGTCAACCAACACATGCGAAATTATGGCTTACTAGTAGGCTTGGGACACTTCGCGACCCGAAGGACCAACATTCAAATGAGTATAACTTTTGTTTGAAAAGTTATTTTAAAAAACTGTTCGACAGTTTTGTTCCTTAACTCGTTTAGTATGTACACAACAATTTCGTGGAATTATCTCTATTTTCGTTGTCCCGCCAAGAATTGCAGTGGAACT